TCTTGTTTAACCAGCAAGTAAACATGTTAGACTATTTCCAGCAGGTAAAAAAAAAAATGCTATGAATCATGATAGCATGTATCTTGTTGTGTTTTGTTTTTGAGACAAGATCTCACTATGTAGCCTAGGCTAGCCTGGACCTTGTAATCATCCTGCCTTAGTCCCCTGAGTGCTATGATTACAGGTATGTGCTACCTGAGTGTTTGCATATTTATTTGTGTGTGTGTGTGTGTGTTGTTGTTGTTGTTGTTGTTGTTTTGTTGTTGCTGTTGTTGCTACAGAACCCTGGGCCTTGTGCACGCTGGGCAAACACTCATACACTGAGCTACTTCCCTACCGAATACTAGCTTTTATTGCACACTTAGCATGTATCAGTCATAGATATGAGCATTTATAAGGAAACTTCCTAACCTCAAAAACAGCCCACTGTATGAATTACTTTCCCACTTTATAGACAAAAAGCTAAAGAACTGAGAGGTTGCTGACCATGGTTACCCCTTCACATGGCCACAAAAGTGCCCCCCACACAGCAAGCATTTATTAAATATTAGTCAACTAATATGGTGACTTCATCTAGACGGCACCAGCTCCCACCAAAGAGTCAGGCAGCCAGCAGCTGCCCAGGACAAAGAGTCTTCTGACCTCTCAGCAATGGGGCAGGTGCTGGACCATTGCAAACACAGCATTCCCCAGAAACAGACCAGGAAGCCATGAGGGTGCTGATCCTGTCCTCATGTTTGGCAGAGCGCCCATGTCCATCCCAAATGACCACAGCAGGACTAGAACACAGGTGGCAACCACAATCCTGCTCCCTCATTATTGAGCAATGGCCAGGCCTATGCAAGCAGGTGCCTCTTCCAAGGCACCATCATTCGTCTCACTGGGAGAGAGGGGCAATGCTCAGGAGTGGCAGGTGGCAAGTGGGTGTCACAGTGCTGACTCAGAGTCCCAGTCTTTCCTTTCCACTCTATGGGAAACCTTGATCATCATCCACTTGGATCTGAGATATGCTCACCAGTGTCATCCATGCAGAGACCACATCCAGGCAGCAACCTGAGCCCAACCAGCCTCTGTGCGGCATACCGGTAGTGGTCTCTCACATATGTAGATTTTCTGCCTCCATTTCTTGTAGTTGGAGACCAAGGTTCATGTCACTTCCTGCTCCTATATCCTGACCCAGTGCCCAGTGCAGATGCTGAAGCCCTCAAACACTCCAAATCTGCCAAGTGGAGAAGGGATGGTGGTCCCTGCTTGTCCTTCCTGCTTGCAGGTGTCCCCTCTGCCCGTGGACACTCATGGGAGAAGCTGAGAGCAGCAAGTGAGCTGCTGGCTAGATCAAGTGGCCAGTGAGAGGGAAAGCCTCAAGGCTCTGGACCCTAGCTTCCCAACATGAGCCACAACTCTGGGACAGGTCAGCAGCTACTCAGCAGGACAAGAACATGAACCATCCTCACTAGGCACCTCAGAGGAGTTAAGAAAGGACTGGGGGTCTATCCTGAGGTCATAGCAAGCAGTCTGCACAGAGGCTAGGAGCTGGCTAAGGACCAAGCCCCTTAGCCCCATTCCCTATACTGACCAACATGCATCCCTATGGCCTGCTAATGGGGAGGCACCACCCAACTCCCACCTCCTGTGTGACTTGCTCTTCTCCAGTTTAATTTTTAAATTCTATTACTGCATTATTTTATGTGTATGTGTGCATACATACAGTGATGATTTCTGTAGGCATAGGTGCTACGGTGTGCTTGTTTCTTTCAGAAGACAACTTTGTGTTTGTGGAGCTGTTTCTCTCCATCCACCTTTATGTGGGTTCCAAGGATCAAACTCAGGTCACTAGACTTGCCTGGCAAGTGCCTTTACCCAGTGAACCATCTCATCTGCTTATATTTCTCCACTTTAAAGAAAGAACACCCCCATGGAGCTGGAGAGACGACAGCCTAGTGGTTAAGCATACTGGCTGCTCTGGTTCCCAACACTTATATGACAGCTAACAACCCTCTGTAACTCCAGTGCCAAGGGATCTGACGCCCTCTTCTGGCCTCCACAGGCATTTCATGTCCATGGTACACTTACATATGTGTAGGCAAAACACTCATACACATAAAAAATAAAATGAACTTTTAAATAAATTTAAAAAAGAAAGAACACCCCTCCTTCCCATGCTCATCAAGGAGTTGATGAGGGAGTCAGTTACCCCTCCCACCCAATCAGTCGACCTTAGCTGCATGTGGATGAGGGGCTAAGGATATATGAGCCAAGAACACCATGAGGCACCTTTCTTTCCATTTTGTGCCACTATCAGGAAGTCACAGGATCTACATGAGTGTGGACTTTCCAGCACAGCTGTAAATGAGGGGGACACTCACTCTTCTGTAAATAAATCCCCACCCTATGTCTGTCAACAAGCCCAATAAACTTGTTAGGATTTTCAAAAAGAAAAAAGAACAGAGCTAATGGAAACCTTCACTAGTCCACCAAAGTTGATCCCATGTTGGCAAATCCTTTGGTCTTTGATTTCTCATTCCTATTTTCCCCCCTTAAGCTTCATTGTATATATATTTTTTTATGTAACCTGCTTCAAGTTATTTCCGGAAAAAAAATGTGTTAAAATTGTCTCTTTGGAATAAAAAAAGGGGAAATAATAATAATAAAGAAAGAAAAAATACCCCAAAGCTGGGAATGATGGTGCATGGTTTCTAGACTGGGTTAAACTGCAGACACAGGTAACCAGCTGCCTCATGCTTCTGCTGCCGTGGCATCCTGCCATGGTGAATTGTACGCGGGAACTGTGAGCCAAAGTAAACCTTTAAGTTCCTTTTCTCAGGCATTCTATCACAGCAAGAGGAAACTAATACAGTGAGCGAAGGGTTACTTACAGAAGTGTAGGTGACTGAAGCAGACATCACCAAAAGGCTCACATCTGCATGGAAGACACGTCACAAAAGCTGCATGACTGGAGTTCCGTGTTTGCAAACAGCTCTACTGGAGTCTCCTCACCTCCAGCAACTGTTTACTGCTTATAGGATCTGGAGAAGAGTGTGGTGGTCCCCTCTTATGAGTTCCTATAACTTTCTGGGTTTTGTGAGCCTACTTGTTTCCATTCTAGAGGTAATATTTCACTACAGAAAACAGCTAACAGCCATAGGAGATGTCTACACGTTTGGCCAGAACCACTAGGATGGGATAAGGGATGAGACCCTAGTGTCCAAGGGAAGATCCAGCCTTGAGCTACAGATCTGTCAGAGACTGCAGCACACACAGCAGTGAAGTAAACCTGGTTTTGCAAGAAGTCTCACCCTCCTGAGGTCACCTGGACTAGCCAATCAGCCTTATCAGTAACGCTCAGTGACCCTACCCATTTCTGCTGCTGCTGTACGGTCAACTGTCCCTTAGACCTTATACCTTGCCTGTGTCATACCTCTCAGTCAGCCCCTCCACTGGGCCACCTCTTAATTAATTTTTATTTTACGTGTATGAGTGTTTTGCCTGCATGTATGTAAGTATACCACATGTATGCAATGCCTGCAGAGGACAGAAGAGGGGTCAGATTCCCTGGAACTGGAGTTAAGGACAGTTTAGCCACCGTGTGGATGTTGAAAACCGAACCTGGGTCCACTGAAGAGCAACCAGTGATCTTAACCACTGAGCCACCTCTCCAGTCCCCCTGTCCACCTCTCGTCTGGTTTCCCATGCCTGGCTCAGTGTTTGCACAGAGTATACCTCAACAAATCCAAGCAAAGAACACACAGAAAGGGGACCCTGCCAGGACCTCTACGACCTTGGAAGCATGAGCACCTCCCTCATGTTCCTCAGGCCCTAGGCCAGTTGGGGTTCTTTCTCCCTGAGTGCCCATGAAAGCTAACCCATTGTCAGTTACAGGAGCAACACAGAGCTGGCATATGGTTCTCTCAGTGCCCACAGGGATGCTGATGACTGCCTGGGAAGGAAAGGTAGGCCAGGGTATGCTCCCAGACCCAGGGCTCCAAGAATCTGACTGATTCCACAAAATTAGAGGTCTCTGAGCAACAGTGCCAACCTCTGCCTGCATCTACCTTAGATGCCTCTCTCCGCATCTCCTGGGCCCCCAAGTCTTCCCACAGTTGGTATCCCATCTTCTACCATCCTTCTCCAAGTACCAGGATGGGGGGTATGGGGGGGACAGGATGGAGCTTTCAGAACCACCGGGGCTATGAGGAGGACACAGCCCCCCTTCCCAGCTTCCCAGGGGTGGGCCAGTCCCTGAAGGGCCCTTGGGGGCTTCACCATCTAGGGAACCCAGCTGATGGAGGGAGATGCTGTTGCGGGGACTTGTAAAGAGGAAGCTGCCCTTTCTGCTTATATGAATTGGACAGACCCACCCAGCAAAGGGCCAGAGTGGGGCACTGCGGGGGGCGGGGTGGAGAGGAAACTAAGCCTGCGGGGAGGGACGCAAGCCGCAGGCAGCAGCAAGCGCAAACAAGCGCATCAGACAGGCTACTCCAGGTCGTAGAAGGTGGCACGGTATGAGGGGCACGGATCCAGCAGGAGAATCTTTTATTTTTATTTTATTTTTTTAGACAAAAAAAATCTCACTATGTAGTCCTGGCTGGTCTGGAACTCGCCTATGTAGATGGGTCTCGAATTTCAAATCTGCCTGCCTCTGCCTCCGGAGTGCTGGGATTAAAGCTGCGGGCCACGATGCCCCTCCAGGCAGGAGATTCTTTAATACTCTAAACCGAGGCCAGGTGATCCCATTTCTGCCAGGCGGAGATGGATTTGGCATAGAGCTGGACCACCGAAGTCTGACTAAGGCGGCTGGGGCCAGGGCAGAACCTCGCAGAGTCCGGCAGAGCTGGGGCGAGACCTAAAAGAAAGGGAAGGGCCTCGCGCTCCCCAGACGAACCTAACTTGGACGGGGAGGCAAAAGCCCGAGGGCAGCCGCGCAGGGTCTCCAGGGCGCGGCCTCCCCGGGATCGGGCGGGAACTCGCTCCCGCTCCGCCCGAGCAAGGCGTCTCCAGCGACGCGTCTGTGGTCCGCGCGTGCGCATTTGCACGCGCTCCGTAGCTTGGCTGCCGCCCGGGGCCTCCGGTTGCAAATGGGCTCCGAGGCCTAGCGTCCCCGTCCCCGCCACTCGTGACCGTGTGCCGAAGCCCGCGAGGGGTCGCCGCCGAGGTGAGGGCGGTGCCGGGCGGGCGGGGGCGGCGCGCGGTTCCCGGTGCCCAGGCCGAGCGCACACAGAGCGCCTTTGTCCGGCGGCTCAGCTGGCCAAGGCTGGTTGGAGCCGCCGAGAGGCCCACGGGGCGGAGCGGGGCAGGGGCGCCGCTCGCATTGCGCACCCACTCCCGGGTGCAGTGACCGGCCTGCACCCCGCAGGTCTCGCAAGCCCCCGGCCTTGAAGCATGGCGGCTATCCCCTCCAGCGGCTCGCTCGTGGCCACCCACGACTACTACCGGCGTAAGTAACCCCACGCCGACCCTGCCCGGAGCCGGGCCAGGGCAGGTAGTTGATCGTTGTCTCCTCCCCAGGCCGCCTGGGCTCCTCGTCCAGCAACAGTTCCTGCGGAAGTACCGAGTACCCCGGGGACGCCGTGCCCCACCACCCGGGTGAGTGCAGGTCCTTTCCTGGGGCTGATACGCCACCTTTGCAGCTTCGTGGGACGGCCGCATCGTGACCCTCTTGCTTTTCTCAGGTCTCCCCAAAGCCGACCCAGGCCACTGGTGGGCCAGCTTCTTTTTCGGGAAGTCCATTCTCCCTTTAATGGCCACAGTGTTGGAGTCCCCTGAGCAGTGAGTCCATCTTTCCTGAGGTTGTGGGGCGGCCCAAGCAGAGCAGCTTCTGACCCACTGACCTGTGCGCTCCCTACAGCTCAGCAGAATCCCCCCAGGCTTCCAGCAGCATGGTCACCAGTGGCCTGGTTCCCGAAACTATGAGGAAGCAGCCAGTTAGCAAGCCTGGCCAGGCCAACACCAGGCCCAGTTCCTGACCTGGCTGAACCATCAGCCCACCCAGGCCTCTGTGGTGCTAGGGTGCAGCCCTGCCTACCCTCCCTGCCCTGGACAGACACCAGCAGGAGCTGGAGAGAGCCCCCCGCCCATGCACTGAGCTTTCCTGACCCAGTAACTGTGCCTTGCACCAAGCAGAAAATAAACTCCCAGCAGCAGTCCTTCCCATGGTGTGTCTTTGGCATTGCTGAATCCAGCCTTACTGCTGGGGGCTGATCTGCTCCCAGGCCTTCTTGAGGTCTCCCTTGGGGCCCTCCCGGTAACACACACATCACAACCACACCTCACCATGTCTGGTGGTAAAATGTCTACCCGAGTGTACCTGGCCAAAAGTCTGGAGTGCTTCTACTTCTGCGGATCCCAGGGCAGCAGGTTGGCTGCTAGGTAGACCAGGGGAGGCTGGGGTTCTCAGCTAAAGGGACCTGGTGCCCTAGGAAAGAGCCTGGTGGATAACCTTGGTCAGGCCCTCCCAGCTACCTCTTGCATGGCTATCTTCAAGTCTGGGAGCCCCAGCACCCATTGAGAAATACGGAGTTCCTGCCACAGTTAGTCCAACTTTGGTCTGAGAGCACAGGAGCTGGGGAGGATGGCTTAAGCCAGCAGAGTAGGAGTCTTGTGTGAGACACAGCAGGCCTTCTGTATTGTCCCTTGGGAGCTGAGGCCTGTACCTCTGACAGTTGAGCCTCCCTTCTGCCCATCCTCAGGGTGTCCAGGTGGCCTGTGGTATAGTGCCCAGACTCCTGAGCAAGTTGCAGATGGAGGAGGCTTTTTCCCACCTTGGATAAACCCAGAACAGAGAGGTTGTTCCACTCAGACCACAGTGTCCAGACAAGGCCCACATAGCTGCTAGTGGAAGCTGCCATTATCATAGGAAGCCAAGGATAGCCAACAGCTCTGGGCAACATGAGCAGTGCTCCATCTCCCATCTACTCTGTCCCCAGAGTCCCCTCCCCACAGGCTTCTGGTCTACAGACTGAAGTCACATGGGTTTCAATTTTGTGAATTGTGGTTTCTCTGAAGTCTTACCAGGTTGCCCAACTGCAGCTGGCAGAGCTGGGAATAGGCCATTTTAGTGACTCTAGAAGGCTGAGATATAGTTGAAAATACCAGTTTAGAGAGTGGTCATCAGATATTAAAGGAAAGAATTTGGGAACCACTCTGGCTCTCAGGTGATAAAACCTCAAAATAGGCCAGGCATGACACATACCTTGAATCCCAGCACTCAGAAGGCAAGTGGATCTCTGAGTTAGAGATCAAAAATGAAGAAGGAAAAAAAAAAAAGATACCTCAGAACAGGAGGGTGCACTGTAGCTTCTGAAACAAGCCCACAATGACACCCACCTCCCATTCTCAGACAAAGTCAGGCTGATCTCTTCACAAAGTAAGTTTGGTCTCAACATGTGACCTGATTGTTTACACAGTGCAGCAAAACAGTACTGACTAAGTACCTGTGTCTGTGTGCTGGGACTTTGTTCCCCAGAACCTCAGACTTTGGAAGCTTGTCTAGGCTAGGCAGCCACACCCAAGTTGCACTACCAGGTTTTTGCAGCAGCATCTGGGTTTGGGTGGGTCCACCTGTACAAGTCATCCTTTCTCATAGTAAAACAGCCATGTATTCAAGGGAGTAGGCCAGTTCTTCCCACAAGGCCTTGATACCATGAAATCGGCCTTAGCTGCTAAAGTTTTCAGTCTACCTAACACAAAAACATTCTAGCCAAAGCTTTGGTAAGGCAGTCAGTTTCCAAGAGAAGAGCTAGTCAGGGTTACACAAATAACTATCACTGTGAAAACAAAACACCTGGGGATGTGTGATCACTCAGTTGGTAAAGTGCTTGCCTTGCAAGCATGAAGACCTAAGTTCAACCCTCAGAACCCTGGGGGAGGGGTGGGGGCGGCGGGAAGCCAGATGCAATTAGGAGCACCTATAATCCAGTGCTGGAGAGGCAGAGACAGGCAGATCCCTGGGGCTAGCTGCCCATCCACTCTAGCATAATTGGTGAGAGATCCTCCCTCTAAAAAGAAAGTGGATGTGGGCAGCTCATGCCTTTAATCCCAGCACTTGGGAGGCAGAGGCAAGTGGATCTCTGTGAGTTCGAGGCCAGCCTGGTCTACGTATCAAGTTCCAGGCCAGCTGGGGCTACAGAGAGACCCTATCTCAAAAAGACCAAAAAAAAAAGATTGTCTCTGAGGAACAACACCTAAAGATGCCCTCTGACCTACACACACAAATAAAACTGCACACAGGAACACGGGCAAAACAATACCTGGTGGCACGTTGTAGCTTCTTGAAGAAGCAGGAAGGAGAGAAATAGTGCTCCATTCACAAAGGTGTTTTACCATTTGATGTAAACTGGAGAGAAAGGGAAAGATTTAAGTCAGGAAAACAAAACTGCTGCAGAACCAGCAAAATGTTAGTTGTTTAAAAAAAATTTAAAACATGCCAGACATGCCTTTAATCCCTCTAACCCTGGGGAGGCAGAGGTAGAGGCAGGTGGATCTCTGAGGCCAACCTGGTCCACATAGTGACTTCCAGGGAGGCTGGGACTAGGCAAACTCAAAAAAAAAATTTTTTTTTTTTAAACACCAGTTCACTCAGTCATAGGTAATGAGTTCTTGCTCTGACTCATCTTAGGATGGCAGTGAGCCCACCATTTTCTTTGGTAGAGATAGAGAAACACTGCAATGATAGTGTTACCAATGTTAGAAATAAAATCCAAGCCGGGCATTGGTGGTGCACACCTTTGATCCCAGCACTGGGGAGGCACAGGCAGATGGATCTCTGCCAGATCAAGGCCACCCTAGTCCACATCAGGACTTCCTGGCAGGCTGGGACTAGGCAGATCCTGTCAAAACAACAAAAGGGTGTCGTGTGTGGTCAGTCAAATCTAGTAAGTACACACAAGATTTGGAAGCTTAGGGGGCTTTTCTCCCTAATGCAAGAGAACTGTTTTTTCCCCCATCGGCTGGGGTCTGACTCAGTCTTTCCCAGTTGGCTGATTTGATAGTTTAAGAGAGTTGGCTCAGCTTGAAAACTCAGTTTGATAAGACCTTGGTTATCTATTTAACCTAAGTGAAAAGGTGTTGGAAAGAAAATCTAGACAGTTACTTGGTTGTGAACAAAACTCTGCCTTGAGTAATCAAAAACCTAGTCACAGACAGCATGAACGAAGCACGAGCTCCTTTAAACACAAACTTGTTAACTAGGCCAGTTACTTGAAGTCAACTTAGTCTTTTAAGGCTGTAAGTTAGAACTTGTAAATTGATATCTTTCATAATACCAAAACCAAACTCCAGTTTTGTATCATTTTGTATTATTACTAAAATTATTTCTTACTGGGTTTTTTTGTGTTGTTGTTTTGGTTTTTTGGGGTTTGTTGGTTTTGTTTTTTTTTTTGGCAATGGTGGGGTTTTCTTTTTAAAAAACAGGCCTCATGTATCCCAAGCTGACTTCAAACTTGCTATGTAGCCAAGGATGACCTTGAACTTATTTCCTGCTTCTACCTCTTGGATGCTGAAATTACAAGTATGCATCACCACACCTGGTTTAAGCAGTACTGGGGATGGAACCCAGGACTTCATGCATGCTAGGCAAGTACTCTACCAACTAAGTTATAGCCCCAGCCCCTAAGCTAGTTTAAAAGAACTTTATAAATAAATGCTTTTAGTCCTTAGTTTCAACCACACAAGATAAGATTCCTTTCCACCAATCCCTTGGGATACTTTAAAAAAATATGTACCCATCCAATTTTTCCCCCTTCCAACATTTTTCCTTTTCTTATTCTAGAACAAGTCCTATATTAGCTCAATAACAATCACTCTTTTCCTTTAGGAAACAAATTCTTTATAACTTTATGGGAAAATGGAGTGCCCCTTGTTTGCTTTGCACACAGATGATTTCCCTTGTTATTGCTAGTGGTTTGAATTACATAGATTATTTTGGGGGGGGTGGTCTTTTTGAGACAGAGTCTCCCAGTAGCCCCAGCTGACTTGGAACTCGCTATGTAGACCAGACTGGCCTGGAATTCACAGAGATCCTCCTGCCTCTGCCTCTGCCTCCCCAGTGCTGGGACTAAAGGCATGCACCACCACGCCCAGAGTAAAATATCTTTTTAAAAATTTATTTTTAGCTGGGCGTGGTGGTGCATGCCTTTAATCCCAGCACTTGGGAGGCAGAGGCAGGCAGATCTCTGTGAGTTTGAGGCCAGACTGGTCTACATAGCAAGTTCCAGGACAGCTGGGGCTACAGGGAGATCCTGTCTCAAAAAGACAAAAAAATATATATTTTTATTTTATGTGTATGAATGTTTGCCTGTGTGTATGTATGTGGACTACATGTGTGTAGTGTCTGCAGAGACCGGAAGGCTGGGTCAAAACCCCTGGATCTAGAGTTACTATTAGCTGACATGAAGGTGCTAGGAACCAAACCCAGGTGCTCTGCAAGAGCAGCAAGTGCTCTTAACAACTGAGCCATCTCTCCAGCCTCTGTAGGATGTCTTCCGAAGAGTAAAATTATTGTTGAAAAGTTCAGATAAGCTTTTACCGCATTTACAGTCCTTTATTCACTCGGCAGGCATGAAGCTTTCATGAGATATCAGTACTTAGTCCTGGTCCTGGGTTATTCTTGCTGACAAGTAGCAGATGTCACCAACTTCATAGGAGCAAAGACTACAAAAAACAGTCATATAGGGAGGGAGAGGCTGGAGAGAGCCTCCTGGGTTTTGGGTCCCGCCTCCTCCGGGAAGAGGAAGGAAGGGAGGAACTATGGCTGCCTCTTCACTATTCCTTTCCAGCGTGGAATATTTAGAGTATGCTTCCTGCCCCTTCATATCAGTAAACTGGAGGATGGTGCACATCTTCGATAGAAGTCCAGGACAATCTTCTGTGGGTCCTGGTCACGTCTGAGGAGCTCAGATGAGGTTCTCATACCTGGTGAAGCTTGAGAGTTTTTCACACAAAGTTTTGAAGGAAGGTCTCTGCTGAGGGTCCTGACCCCAACAACTGAGCATCAGTTTGTACACACTGGTTGGGCACTCCAGGGGGCAGGGCATGCGGTAGCCAGCGTCCACCCTCATGAAGGCCTCGTGGTTGGACATGCCTGTGGCCCATGAGAGAATTAAAGATGAAAAGCCAGGAGGCTGATGTGTACCCTCCACTCCTAGAAGTTACACCCAGCTGCCTTTGGCCCCTCCCTGGATATTTACTTTTGCAGCAATGCCTGTGGCCATGCCCTGAGCATTTCCTAGCCTACTGTCTGCTGCTGTTGCCCTCTCTCTGGTCAGTATGACTCCAGATCGTCGGCACTGGTACATGACCGATGATCCTGGATGCTCAGGAAATGGAGCAGGGGCAAGGTCTAAGGCCGTGGGAAGCACCACCCATCATGTCTGCCAGCCACTAAGACCTGTCCCCAACTCCACTTCAATACCTGCCCACAGTCAATGACACAGTCAGGGAAATACCTGGATAGGGTATCTGCCCCCTGCTGAAAATTTCATGGAGGAGAACCCCAAAGGACCAGACATCAGATTTGATCGAGTAGTGGCCTTGGGAGAGTGCCTCCGGTGCAGTCCATTTGTAGGGAATGTTGTAGTCATGGGAAAAGTAGATGTCCTCCTGCAATAGAATGGCCACAGGGGCAAATTAGGTGGGGCCCCTGATGCTGGAGATTGCTACCATCTGTACCTTTACCCCATTGCTTTCTGACCCACTGACACCACTCTGCTGTTAACAGAGGGAGCTTTTCTGACCCACTGACACCACTCTGCTGTTAACAGAGGGAGCTGCCATCAATGCTGCTCAATTCATGTCTGGGTCCTGGCATCAGAAGCACCAATTCCCTGGGATTCTGGGGGCTGGGAAGGAGCAAGGGTAGCGCTACAAAGTACAGAGACAAGAAAAGTTCAAGGTACACGGCCATGTCCAAGGTACCCAGAGTTGGCCCGGTATGGCACAAACAAGGCTGTGGCTGCGTGGGTGAAGCCATTCCCTTATCTGTCACCACCACCCTATCAAGAACCCATCTTGCCTGTGTCAGGGTCTAGTTCCAGGCTTGGGAGATGAAGCCCCAGACCCTGCTCTCAGCTTCCACCTCCCTCCTGGGGTCCTACCTTGATGAGCCTGGCCAGCCCAAAGTCCCCTACTTTGCAGATATTGTTCTCCCCGACAAGGATGTTCCTGGCAGCCAAGTCTCGATGGATATAATTCTGAGATTCCAAGTAGCACATGCCTTCAGCCACCTGAGATGCAAAGTCTGCCAGCTCCAAAATAGGCAGGGCTTTCTCATCAGAGTCTGTGGGATGACCAATGGTCAGAGTCAGTTGGCCAGGGCCCAGTCCCCATTTGTCTGAGCTATGCAGGCTCCTACAAAGGGCAGCTGGCCTGGCCCTTCTGCAATTATGTACTCAGAGCCAAAGAGCAGAATACATGTACCCTTTGCCCCATAACCTTTCTTGGAATCCTAAAGCAATCTGAGGGCAAAGACACTGCCTCAAGATATTCCTGGCATTGTGTGACCACTGAGTCCTCTGAATACTCCACAGCCGGCAAGTGCCACACCTACCGGGAGAATGCATTTAATTTCTGAAGACTTCTTCCTGCAAGATCTAGCTCATTATATGAAATGTGTAGACTACATAACTTTACTATTCCAAATGCTGGTGGTATGGACATCACCTATCCCAGGTTGTGGCCACTTCTATATTACCACATTTCCTCTTGTCTGAAGTTAGGTGACCAGCATCTCAACTGGTGGAGATTGTCTGGTTTTGGTGTTGGAGGAAACAGTGTCTATGTGTATTGCGGGTGAGTGTGCCCGTACCATCTATGAATGTCTGTAAGACATGTCAATGTCTTACATGTGTTTGTGTTCAAATGTGTATAAGTATGACAAGGCAGCGGCAGATCTCTGGGAAAGAGACACGCTGGGGGGCTGAAGGAGGTCTAGCAGGCTACACAGGGCAGAATTAGTGAGGTATGGGAATTCTTTCCTGTACTTATCTGTACTTTTTCAAATTTCACAATGAGCAGTTGGTAGATTTGTCTTTTTTGTTTGGTTTTTATTTTTGAGACAGGCTTTCACTATATAGCTCTCGCTGGCCTATAACTTGAGGTAGCATAGACCAGGTTAGCCTGGAACTCACAGAGATTTGCCTGCCTCTGCCTCTTGAGTGCTGGGATTAAAGGCTCAACACACCTGACAGATTTGTGATTTTTTTTGGGGGGGGGTCTTTTTGAGACAGGGTCTCCCTGTAGCTCCAGGTGACCTGGAACTCACTATGTAGACCAGGCTGGCCTTGGATTCACAGAGATCCGCCTGCCTCTGCCTCCTGAGTGCTGGGATTAAAGGCATGTACCACCACACCTGGCTTAGATTTGTGATATTTTAAGTCATTTATTTATTTTCTTACTATTTTCTACAGGTGTGATGTGTGTATGTGTGAGGGTACACACACTCTACAGTGCAAGTGTGGAGGTGAGAGGACAACCTTGGGTCTCAGTCTTCATCTTCAGTTTTGAGGCAGGGTCAAGGCTAGCTGTCCAGAGAATTTTCAAGGATCGTCCCATTGTCCCCTACCTCACTGTAGGAGCCTTGAGCCTTGGGATAACTGATATGTCCCCACACCCAGCTTTACATGGGTTCTGAAGATCCAAACTCGGGTCCTCACACTTGCATAGCAAGCATTTCACCCACTGAGCCATCTCACCAGCCCTCTTTTTTAATTTGTGTGTATGTTGGGAGAGATATGGTTGTTGTGTAGTGTGTCTACTTGTTACTGTGTGTATATCTGTGTGAACGTGGGGGGGGCAAAGGTCTTCAGGGTCTGTCTTTAATTGTTCTTCATTTTTAGTTTTTTTAAATCTTATATTTATTTTATGTGTATGAGTGTTTTGCCTGCAAGTATGTAGCTGTACCACATGCTTGCGATCAGATCCCCTGGAACTGGAGTTACTGACTGTTGTTAGCCACCATGTGGGCTGGGAACTGAACTCAGGTCCTCTTGAAGAGCAAGTGATTTTAACTACTGAGCCATCTCTCCAGCCCCATTCACCTTTAGTTTCTGAAACAGGGCTTTTGATGAACCTGAAGCTCACAGATTTGGCTTAGCTAAGTGGCCAATAAACTTCAAGGGATATGCCTATCCCTGGATCCCTCTTCCCCCAGTGGTGGAGTTATAGGTGCTCACAGTCATGCCTGGCCTTTTATGTGGGCTCTTAGGACCCAAACTTGAGTTTTTATGCTTGTGCAGCAGGCACTTTACTGACTGAGCCATCTCCTCCGTCCTCAAGCCATTTCGTAAAGCAAAAAGCTCACCTGGGAGCTTCTGACTGCAGTGCATGGGTGGAAGGGGCCACATTTCTATGACTCCTTCGTGTGTCTCCTGCCACTTCCAGCAAGCCTGTCACTTTCACCCCTGGGAAATGAGGGTGGGGCTTGCCACTTACCCCGCAGCAACTGCAGCAGGCTCCCCTTGGGCATAAGCTCCGTGATGATGTACACAGGGTCCCCTGCTGATGCCACGGCATACAGTGCCAGGATGTGCTTGTGCCTCAGCTTCTTCATGGCCTGGATCTCTGACTGGAAGGTATGCTGGTGCAGGAGGTTGTCTAAAAGACAGCAACCTCAGTGGGTACAGCCCTTGGCCTGTTTCCCAAGCAGGAGGCCCAGTCTCCCTGAAGCAGCTCAGGAAATGTGAGCAGCCCAGGAGGATGAAGGCCAGCCCCCAAGCTATGAGACCAAGGTTTCCATGACTTAGATCTTAGTGCCCCAAGCCTGGTGTCCATCTTCCCTCACATGTCCCACCCAGCAGGTCAGGGCTTCCCAGGTGGATGCTCCCAGGGTCTTGGCTTGACCTAATTTCTGAGGTGTGAGGTATAGAAGACCTGCCATCAAGGCTAGGATTTTAAGTGAATCTTTCAAATTTCCAGTGACTTCTTTGTATAAGAATGGGTACAACTGAAAGAAATCGTCCCCTCAGAGGTGCTGTTAGTGTATGTTGAGATCCCCACAGTGGGATGAATGCCCACTATAGGACTGGTTGGGAAGCAGCACATGAACAAGTGGACCCTGGCCTGGGTCTGCTTACCTCTGGAGATCACCTTCACAGCCACACGGACTTGACCTTTCCAGAGTCCTTCGAAGACCTCCCCGAAGTAGCCAGACCCCAGCTTCCTAGAGAGTGTGAATTCCTCCCTTGGCCTCTCCCAGTTAGCCCAGTGAGGCAAGGGCTCAGTTTCATGCTGGAGAGACAGAGAGGGGTATAAGGGGGTGCTAGTCGGGTCATCTAGCTTGTCCTCAAGAAGGACTTGCTCTGAGCCTCATGTGAGGAGCTCTGTTTATCCTTAAATTGGGCCATGTGCAGCTTGGCAGGGTCTAAGTCTCCTACTCAAAATGCCACTGACCTCATCCACCAAGGCCAGTGACTCCCCTTCAAGCTAGTGGCCAAAGTGACCCTTGTTACGAGGCCTACCAGATCTAGGACTTAACAAAAGAACAACTGAGCTCTGGTGGACCAATAAGAGGGCAACAGCCAAGGAGAATGTTGTCTACTGAGCCTCTCCACTCCCCTCCCTGTACTCCACCTGCGTGACCCTGAGCAGCTGTGTCACAGAGTAACCAGTGGCCTACCTTCCAGCAGGGCATAGTCAGCCGAAGGCCGTGAGACAGGCTCTGGGTTTTGTGGTAGTCCACAAGCTCAGGCAGACTGAGGAAGGACACTGCCTCATTCAGGTGCAGCCGGCCAGCCTCACTCTTCCAGATTCTGTAGTGTCGCACAGCCTGAGCATCTCGCACTGAGGCGGAATAGCCCACAAACCGGGACATGAGTAGGCAATCTTGCCCTGTGTGTCGCCCACCCCCACCAGTCCCTGCTCCCACCCTGGACCCTGCCCACACTTGACCACCTGGTACTCCTGTCACAAGCCAGGGTTGTTTCTGTTCCCTGCACTCCCAGGTTTTAAGATCATATGTAGAATGGAACACCTGTGGGACCAGGGCTTCCATGACACATGACAATGCCAGAGGCCATGGGAAAACCCCCAACCTAGGAAGGAGTGCCTGGCTTTTGGCCAGAAAGACTAGGTAAGGTGGGGTAACAGCCACATGAAGGGGTCAGGGCTTCCAATAGAAGAGGCATATGTCCCAGACTTCACAATCAGAGAGGAGGCAGGTCACCACGTAGCCTGGAAGACCTGGAGCAAGCAAAAGAAAGAAGAGGTCTGGGAAGCAGTACCTGAAAGGACATAGTCAGCTCCTGGCTTCTCGCTGACTCTGATTAGGAAGGCACCAGTTGAGTTGCCCTCAGCCTGCAGTCTGTGCATGGCCTCTGAGCGGGAGATATAACCGAAGAACCATCTGCAAGCCAGAGGGCAGCCTCAGTCTAGCTGACCCCAATCCCAGCCCTGCAGTCACCCTGTTTCTCAACTGCCCACTCCCCCCGCTACCTGGGGTCTTAGTCACCTTTGGCTGTTGTCTCACATTCCCAACCCTGACCAAACTGCCTCCCCCACGTGCTACCCCAACCCTGCAGGGACCTCTTTGCCTGTCGTGGACCCTGAAAGTCCTAAATGGCTGGTTCTGGACACCAGGAAAGGCCCTGGTGACCCAGAGGGGGATGGGCAGGCACTGCCTACCATCCTGCCCTGGATGACACCCATCTGTAGTCAGACTTCCCCACCAAAGGCCCGCAGTCCCATCATGTGAATGCCCCCCAATCTCTGATGTGGGGGGCCTGGAGCAGGCCAGGGAGGGGTCTGACAGCAACTCTCAGGAGCTGCCTCCTGTCTGTGCCTTGTATGCACATATGCACATGCTCACATGATCATGCACAGACATGCACTGATGCAAATGCACATGTGCTCACAGTGCATTGACACACGGACACTTGTGTGCACACATTTGTACATCCATGTACCCACATTTGCATATTTGCACAAGCATGCACACATACAGACAAGCACACCCTCATATGTGTGTGCAGTCACAATGCCACACCTGCACATGCGCTCCCATCCTAAAGCATTTACACACACTGGCTTCCATCACAAGGGGTGAGTGTGCCGGAACTACTGGTACGAGTCCGTGAGCTTCCCCAGGTGACCCCTGCCCAAGGAGTCTCCAACTCAAGAGCCGTCGGAACAAGACCCCACACAGGCCCTGAAGTTCAACCCCTCAGGTCCTGCAAAGCTAGAAAATCTCTCCCATTCACCACTCTGACCTCTTTGCTCCTTTTATTCCTCAACATGTGCTGGGTTCTCAGGGCCTCAGGGGCTTGGCTCCTGCTATGTCAGCCGCATGAGCCTTTTACATGTGCTATCCGCCTGCTTTGTTCTCTTCATGAGCTTATCTCGGGAACAGTCCCAGGTGTCACCCTATGTGCTCACAAGCATCCACATGCAATAGGTGCTCAATGTGAGTGGTGAGGAGTTGGAGTAGGGAGTGTCTCAGGAACAAAGCAGCAGGAACTGTCGGGCTCTTCTCAGCCTTAGCTCAGAGAAGCCTATACAGCTGGGTCCTCAGGTGGCTATGAACATGCCCACACCAGCCACCACTGTAGTTCCTCAAAGCCCCCTAGTGGCTCAACTGTGTGGGTGGTCAGGAACAGTGGCCCTGGGGTATTTGAGGGGACATAGAGACACCTACCATTGTGTTCGCTCCCACCATGCACCCCCAACAGGTGATAGGTAGGTGTGCCCCAGCAGCCTTCTGGCTCTCTTAACTAGGTCATACGTCTGGTTCTGGCTGTTTGGAAAGTGAACAAACTTTACTCCCCCAAAGGATCTCAGACTCCCACATGAATATTGTCACTGGCAGTCAGCTCCTAAAAAACCCACCCTGGACCTTTCTGTCCTGTTTGGGTCCTAGAAAAGCAGCACCCATGGCTGGGAAGTGGTCATGGGTGGGTCCAGAGGAGAGGTCCCATCCCCAGGTGTCACAGAGAGGTATGACCCCTTCAGCCCCCTGTGTAACAATGATGATGAAGTCCAGATGAGAACCAGCTAGATGCCTAGCTGGGGTCTCATACCCCTGGTCTCCCTGGTCTACCCCTCCCCCTGTGCCAGCTCTCCAGGGCCACTTACGGCTCAGACCCCACAGTTTCCTTCTCAGCCAGGTAGTTGTAGGGCACGTAGCCCTCAGCCAAGGCCCCACCTGCCTCATCCAGCAGGGTGGCCCACCACCACTGCTCTTCCTTCCTGGTCACGTAGAAAAGGTCCCCTGCCTGGAAGCTCAGCTCTTCATCTGTTCGGGCCTTGAAGTCCCAGAGGCCTATGTATTTAGGGCCCAGGTGGACCTCGTTCCGAGACACCATGGCAAGCTCAGTGGCAGAGTCAGTTGTGGGCTGGCTGTGGACACCTGCCTCTGGGAAAGGCAGGTGAGGCTTCCCACAGCAGGTTAGTCACACCTACTTCCTTATGACAGGTAGCAGGGCAGTCATTCCCAGCACCCACTGGGGATAACTTATCCTGGCTCTACCCAAATGTCCCCTCTGGCCCCTATGTCTTACTGTCCACCAGTTCTAGGCCATGCTGTGTGCTCACACCTGTGTTCAGTGGAAGCCTGCCAGCTGAGCCACACCCTGTCAAGACCCTGTCATAGTTAGGCAAAGTAATACATTAATAGTGAGCACACAAGTGTCAGCCAGAACCACAGACCCTGGGATGTGAGTCTTGGAACCAGAGGATGGAGAGGGGACCAGTGGAGAGTGGTGGCAAGGATGGTTGGCAGGCTGCTGAAGCACACAGGGACCAGAGAAGAGAGCTGGAAGACTCTGCCCAAACTGGTTGGGTTGGCCTTATACACACGCTGACAGCCACCTCCCTGGATAAGTGTCCACCCACAAGACAAGAGGCAGGATTTGCTCTGGGGATGGAACCAAGAAAGCAGACAGGACCTGAGTTAAATACAAGGAAGAAGATGGTGGGGTAGGGTGGGAGGAGCCTGGTGAGACCTGTGAACCAAGAGTGGGCATATCCAAGCCTAGGCTTCTGCCACAACTTGATTCCCTTGATGTGAGGACACTCAGCTACCCACCCACCTAGGAGAAACCAATCAGAACAGCATGCTGGACCACAGCCCAGTAGGTGGGGAGACCAACAGGAGCCAGGGGATGAGAGAGATCGGGGTGAGGACATCCATGTGAACTGTGAGCTGGCCTAGAGGGCTTCCTGGGTGCCTGTAAGGCATGTCTTTCTCACAGACTTCAGCTCAAGTAGGCACTGTCCTGTCCTTCCAAATAAGGACACAAGGGGGCAGCCAAAGGCTATGAGTAAAGACGGACCCATAGGCCCCACCAGGGCCCCTGAAGCCCTACCACCCTCCCTCTCTGGCTCCCTTCTTGCCTTGGTGGCCCCCAGGACCCCTTCCAGCCCACCTTCCAAGCTACTCCAATTCCTAGTAGCCTGATTTGTGGCTGCTCTAGCCTTCTTGCTTGTCCCCTCTCCTCCCAGAGAATCTTGAAACTTGAAACCTTGAAACTCCAGAGAATCCCTCTTTCCGTGGTGACCCTGAACACCTTCCCCACTTTGGCTGATCCAGCTGTGTTCACCCTAGGGTACTCACTCAGGGATCTGGACGATAACCACAAAGAGAGATGAGAGAGATTAACCTGTCTGTAAAGATAAGTGACTGGGAAATCACATCATATTAAAGTACTCGCTGGGAGCTAAAGTGGTGGCTTGACAGTTAAGAGTACTCGCTGCTCTTCCAAAGGACCTAGGTTTGGTTCCCAGCACCCACGTGGCAGCTAACAACCATTTGTAACTCAAATTCCAAAGGGCCTGCTGCCCTCTTCTGGTCTACACAGGCATTGTACCCGAGTGGTACATGCAGGCAAAACACTCATACACATTTAAAATAATAATAATAATAATAATAATAAAATACTTGTTTGAATTTTTTTCTTTTGGGGTGGGTGGTGCTGCTGCTGCTGAATGATGGGGATCAAATCCTGGGCTACATGCATGCTAGACAAACACTCCACCAATGAGTAATAGTCGCTGGCCCTGAATCCTTTTATTGAAAAGAGAAATCGCACTATCTACCTGCTTCCTATTGAGATTAAGTGCAGGAACATGCATTATTTAGCAGGTTCACAAGCACCTGGCCAGCCCAGTTCAGTTTCCAACAAGGTATAGGGAAGGGGTAACAAAGGATAAGCTGAAGGTACTGGTGCAGGTGGAGGGCAGGTCCTCAGGTAGTTGTAGCTGGGCCTTGGGCAGACTGGTCTCAAGGACTCCATGGTTACCTCCCCTGTCTACTCCAGATCCCTCATCTTGAGCCTCTGGGTTCCAAGCTGTGTTCTGGACAGCCATGTGTTTCTAAAGGGTGAGACTTGTGGGTGGCTCTATGTTATATCAGGGAGCGCGAAAGTCCCTGGCCTCTCCCACAGTCTAGGAGGGCCAAACCATCTCACCTGAGGCTGACTAGACACACAGGAATGCACCAGGCCCTAGCCAAACCTGCTTCTATAGTCTGGCTACAATCCCAGAATGGACTTCCTCCCCAAGCCCCGTGCCTTCCTAACTCCAGTGCCATTCTAGACTGATTCATGATAGATTCTCCCCGACCCCAGTCCCAGAATGCCATCATCTTATCCCACATAATCCCTTGGTTCTACTCTGCTGCTTGAAATCTGGCCAAACAGGGATCACTGAGCCACCAGCCGCCAGTTCCAGGCTCCTCCTTCAGCCTCCCCAGCTGGACTGAGAGGTCAGAGATGCAGGCTGAGACAAAGGCAGGGCTAAGACTCAGCTCAAAATCCACTCTTCCTCCCCGTCCTGACACTGATGTCAGCATATTCCCTTGGCCTGGCCTCCATGGCTCCTAGAACCACCCTGTCCCTAAACTACAGGCAGATTGATCTGGATCCCAGAGCAATCAGATCCCAGTGCTTCCCTCTGCAGTGCTGCCCATACCTTTGGTCTCCTTCACCCAGAAAATCAGGAAGCCCCTGACTGGTTGACCCCTACAGTCTTTGTTCCACCTAAAGGGTCATTTTGCATGAAGTTCAAGTTCTATCCTAGGTCCCCATACTGGCCCACAGATGTGGCCAGTGATCATGAGCAAATTGGCCTCAGTGGGTGCAAACGTGACCCCAAACTCTGTTCCCTCTAGGGAACTACCAGTCTTTCTGTCCCATAACCTTCTGGGTATAGCTTCTAGGAGAGTGGAATGGCCTTGGGTCCCTGGGCAAAGGCCCCAGACCTCTGTATGCTGCCCCAAACTCCTCATTCTCAGGGGTCACACTCAAAACACAACTGTAGTCCATGGGGACTTTGTTCCCAGAGAGTTGGTTACCTAATTGCCAATATCCTGCCTGACCCTACCAGCCAGAAAATTATGCCTCCTAATCACTACCCATGAAGAGAACCAGCCTTGAGATGCCATTCCTCTGTACCCGGAAAAGGCCTGGAACTGTTCTCAGTCACTGGGCCACCAGTCTACCCTTCCTGAAGCCCAGTGAGGCCTCTGTATTCGATCCCAGCCCAGGGAGATGGGAAGGCATGTTCACGTCACTCCTGCAGGTTCCACCATGACCCATATGGCCTTGGTGATACACATTGTGATGGGGTTTTGGAGTAGGGTCCAACTTTCCCACCCACCTTTACTATCTGAAACTACCATTGATTCCAGCATTCCATTCCGGGAGCTGGTATGTAAGTCCATCAGAGCATGTTTATTGACATTTGTCTGCTTGGAACCCTGGAACTAGCCACTTAACCAAACCTGCAGTGGGACTTGACCGTAGGAGGGAGCTGAGGAGGCTCTGGGCCAGGAAGGAACTGCTGGTTCTGCTGGTGTTCCTGTGCCCAGCACCTCCTTGAAGCTCCCTTCTATGTTTTATCAGCCCTCTGGAGACACCAGGGACTCAAGCCATGCCAGGAAGAAGACATCAGTTCTCATTTCCATCTAAGTGAGCGCTGATGGCCAGGCCCAGTCTGCATGTGCCTATCTAGTGTGCAAAAGTACCACCCCATATCAGTGAAGGAATCCTAGTGCTGGACACTTTGAGGCTAGTATTCCCATCTGTGCAGTATTTCTCTGTGTGCCGATGGCAGGCTGGTGGCAAGTGTTGTCCTGAGGAGACACCTTTCAGCAAACAGCTGCCCCAGCTACTGCCTGTGGGCCCTGGAGCCCTGGTCACGTGAGGCCCAAATGGAGGCGCCTGTGGATGGCACTCAGCTTCTCTCTCAATGTGGTGAAGGTGGGCCGCTCCTCAGGGCTGCTCTTCCAGCACTCCACCATAAGCACATAGACCTCTGCTGGGCAGGTGGCTGGGCGTGGCAGCCGGTACCCCCGACTGATCTGCTGCAGCGTCTCATGGTTGGTCATTCCTGACGAGGGATCAGCAAGAGGGACAGGGCAGCAACTGCCTTGATTCTGCCTGGGTGTCACTAGAGAGACTGCCCCAGGCCCAGCCCCAGCCTCTGCATGGCCAGCTTGTGCTCGTACCTCAGCCCCTATCCTGGTGTGGGGATCACTGACTTCCAGGCCAGGGTGTGTTACCTCCCTCAGTCTGGATCACAGGCTACCTCCCTCACACTAAACTTTCCCTGACAAGGCCTGGTCTTCCCTCAGGTGACTCACCTTCATAGGGACATTGGCCGTAAGTGAAGACCTCATACAGCAGAATGCCAAAGGACCAGACATCTGACTTCTGGGAGAAGATGCGGTAATTGGCTGCCTCAGGTGCCGTCCACTTGACAGGGATCTTGGAGCCACTGCTTGGGGAGTAGACGTCATCCTGGAGATGAGGGGAGGCAATGGTGAAGAGTTCAGAGTGGTGCCACACCCTCCCAGGGCTCGGGAGCCCAGAGCCCCACTGACCTTGAGCAGCCGGGCCAAGCCAAAATCAGCTACCTTGCAGGTGAGGTCATCACCCACCAGCACGTTCCTGGCTGCCAAGTCCCGGTGGACAACACGTCGCTCCTCCAGGTAGCTCATGCCCTCAGCTACCTGGCATGCGAAGCCCAGCAGGAGAGGTGGGTTCAGGGCTTGGCCTTCGGGGCCTGCAAGGAGAGAGGCTCAGAGGCCAGAACTGATTGACAGGCCTCACATGGGTACAGCGTGAAGATTGGCAAGGCAGGTACATGTGTACACACTTGTTCTTTCTATGCCTCGGTCTCCCTATCTCCAAGGGAATAAGAGCGGCACTACTCACTAAGGCCCAGTAGGCAATTACGGAGTTGGAAGAGGGTGTTTTGCACTCACCACTGGGCCTCAGAACAAGTTGATCCGTGGTACCTGCCTGGACACCCAAAGGAGACAGCACTGGGGCTGGGCTGGACTGGATCCAAAGCCACATATAGAACCTGATGACCCAAAGGGAACTTCTCCTGCCTGTACTCCAGTCCTGGCCTTGGAACCACTAGGCTTTGACTATCTTTTAGCCAAGCTCAAGCCTAGGCCAGACCTTGGGCTCCGTTCTTCTGCTGACCAGAGACCCCCAGGACCAGATGGCTGCAGCCTGAGCTACATGTGTCCCTCAAAGGATTCCTCTTTGTACACTGAGGGTGTGGGTGATACACTGAGAGTCAGGAGGTGTGGCTTCTACAGGGTGACCACGAGGAGGGTACTCACTGCCCAGGTAGGCCTGCAGGTTGCCCTTGCCCATCAGCTCAGTGACGATGTACACAGGCTCCCCCAGAGAGCATACGGCGTGCAGCCGGATGAGCCGCTCATGCCTCAAGCTCTTCAGTGCTTCAATCTCCTTGGTGAGGTCAGCCAGTTTCATGTCAGCTATGGAAGAGAGTGCTGCTCCAAGACTATCCATGTCCACTACTGCCCCTAGGCTCCAGAGTCAGAGCCTGGGGTGCCAACAGGCCTGGGCTGGCTTCAGGACCTCACCTGACTTGATAACCTTCACAGCCACAGGCACAGAGCCCAGCCACAGGCCTTCCCACACCTCCCCGAAGAAGCCTTCTCCCAGCTTTCTGCGAAGGACAAATTCCGAGCGTGGCCGCTCCCACTCATCCTGAGCCGGGGGCATCTGTGGGAAGGGATAATTAGTGTGCTGCCTACAGCTCCCCTAGCAGAGGAGCAGGAAGGATGGGATGCTTATTGGGACCCAGCCTTCCTGTATGTCTCAGACATACAGCCCTAGTATCAGGTCTTGGCCCTCACTCCCACCCCACCATATCCTCACTGCAGGCCCAAGCTGGGACACAGGAGACCAGTGCTGACCTCCAAGAGGCCTGGCCCAGAACTATGAAGCTAATTTCTTTGGGGGATACGAGCAGCCCCTTTACCAGAGCTGGACATCTGTCCGCAAAATACTCATTACCACCCTCGGCTAGGCTGTCATTATGGGACCAGAGAAACCAGATTGCTGCCTTGGCCCCCGCAACACTAGACACCTGGGGAACAGTGTCTCCTCCTTCAGCTTCTGCCCTCGGGGCCTGGAGCAGCTGTCAGTGCCTTCCCTACCTTGGCCCCACCTCCTCCTAATGCCCTGCAGAGTTGGGTACACCCTACACCCTGATCTTCCACCAGTCTCAGCGGCGATGAAATTCATAGACGAAGCCAATTCTACCAGGGTGCAAGAACCACTGGACACTGGCTACTCCCAAGCCAGGTCTAGGCTGGAAGCTGGCTGAGAGACTCTAAGGATCCTCAGTGGCCCCCCGATACAGGCAGAGTTTGAGGCCCACCTGGGGTATGCAGGGCTGCAACAGAGGGTTCTGGATCAGCTTCCAGTTGGCCTTGTAGTAAGCAAGCAGAGAATCCAGGCTGGGGAAGAGCCGGCCTTCCTGCAGGTAGAGGCTGCCACTGGGTGCTATGCAGATGCGGTAGTGGCAGACTTTGGACTGGGCCCGGACTGGGGGACAGAGATGGAAACCAGTGCCTCGGCTGTACCTGTCTCAGACACCCACACCCCAGCCTCCCAAGTGGCTTGGCTCATGGGGGTCATTGAGGTGGTCAGCACTCTCTGCAGGAGGGAGCATGGGCAGCTGCAGACCACAGGGCAGCCAAGGGGCCCTGGGGACACAGAGTGCTAAATAGTGTTACATTAATTCTTGTTGAATGAATACTAAGCCTACTATGTAGTGAATGGAGGAAGGAGGGAAGGAGGGGAAATGGAGGGAAGGAGAAAGGGAAGAAGGAGGAAGGGAAGGCAGGCACTTGGTAATCAGCATGCCTACATGAATGAGGGGCTGGCAGTCTGGGGATCAGCTGCTCCAAAGGTGAAGGTCCCTGGCCTGGTAGGACTGAGCAAGATGCCCGACTTGGGAAACTGAGTCTTGAAGGGCTGCCTGAGTACCTGACAGAGAGTATCCCCCGATGCTGCTCTCACTGGGCCGGATGAGGAAGGCCCCTGGTGCATTGGCAGGGGACAAGAGGAGCTGCTGGGCCTGGTTTCTGCTGATCCCACTGAAGTACCAACTGCAAATCAAGGGCACAGTGGTCACCTTTCAGGCCCAGTTCTGCTGTCTTTCAGAGAGAAAATGCTAAGACTGGTTCCAGCCCACCACCACCTGGTGACTGGAACCTTCTTTCTCACAGGTGTGACTATCTGTTCACCTGGGCCACCTGTTTTCTGTTACCCTGCTGCCCCCCTAGTTCTCTGCTCAGAATGTGACCATCAGGTCCAGCCAAAATCTAATAGCCCTGGCCACAGATCAAACCCACCAAATTTAAAATTTTGTTACCAAGGTCCCCAACCAACAAGCTGCCCCAGCAGTCACAGAGCTGCTAGTATGGCCATGGAGAGGTCATGGAGAGAATCTAAGACTCTAACCTGGCTGGGCATGGCTCACTTGAGAGGTTGGAACCATGGGATCTGGGGACCCCAGGAGAAGGGGACTGAGGCAGGGTGGACAAAAAGTTAGCAAAAGCAGACAGCAGGCAGGGGAGGGGGAGCTCTAATGCCTTGTGCCCCTTGAAGGGCCATGCCAAGGTGGGCCAGCCCTGACTACTCATAGTTCCACCTAAGTCACCAGGTGTGGCTCCATTCATCCTTGGGAGCCACAGACAATCTCAGGAAAGTGTGTGCACCTCTGCTCCCCAGGGCCCAAACAGGGCTCCACAGTTGGCTCAGCATCCCATCTAAGCTTCCTCACTTCAGAGACCTCCCAGGAATCCAGTGGACTGGAGAGCATAGCAATGCAAGGAAGAATCCCCTAAACATGGTCTCTCACGCCCCAGATGGGGGCCAGACAGTGGGGGATACATAGTATGACTCAGGTTAGCCCACACAAAAGTAGACAGGCCTGTACCCCTCCCAGCGAGACATGGGGGGAGGAACTGGCATGGCCAGGGTGTGGAACTGCTCTGAGGCTGAAGGGATGGGCACAGCTACAACAGGAAGATATGAAGAGATAAAGGACAGAGGCCAAGCCCTGGGAAGCAGGAGCAGTGTTGGCAGACTGACTAGATGTGAGGAACTGCCAAGGACATGGATGGATCTTGGGTTGGGTCATCTGGAATGCACAGAACCTCTGAGACCTGACTAGGCAGTAGGTTCAGGAAGATACACAAACTCACTTCAGGAGCTGGAGGTCCAGCCCCTTGAAGTTGCCTGTCTCTCTACTGAAAACCAGAGCCCCTGCTTACAGGATCTGTGGGCAGAGAAATGAGACCCCCTGGCATGTGAGGAGCCCCTGGGGTCCCTTCCCAGGATAGTAAAACTAGGGAACCAGAAGTGGGAGTTTCTCCTCCATACCCCTACCCTTTCCCTGAAGCCATAACAGGGCCTCTTAAAAGATATGTCTAGGTTCCTGTGATATCCTGAGCTATGGAGGATGTGCCTCAGGGGTCTTTCCCTGCGGTATGGGGCCAAGTGTCTCAAACTAATGATACCATAAGTGTGGTCAGCCCTTTGATCTCCAAGCCTAGGCAGTCATTAGCTCTCCCACGAGCTGCCCTGCCCCCAGGAACACAGCCCTGCCTGCTACACCAACAGCCTCCAGGACCTGTTCAGAAGGTCTGTCTCCCACACCTGGGTGACTGTGAGACCCTCTCCATCAGAACAGCTGCTTGGCCCAGCCCACCCACTGCTGAGGGCCAGTAAGAAGGCATGGGGCAAGTATGTGGATCCCCTTCCTGTGTCTCCATTTCACCTGCCACATGAAACCTCCTAGGAAGCCATGACTGCTAACAGATCCCCAGGAGGCTAGAGGTAGATTTGAGCAATGCTGGGACCCGAGGCTGGTGTGCAGAGGACTCAGCTCAGTTCGATTTTGGTACAAGACCAAGGACAGTTACCCAAGCAAGCTCTCCTCCAGCTTTCAGCCTGTTCCTGCCCAGTGAGATCCTTGCTGCATGAGCCTCTTGGCATGCAAACAGCCAAGCATCCACACCAGCCACTGTCTGTGAGTGACTGCCCAGTCATGGGAGCAAAGAGTAAAATCTTCCCCCTACCTACTCCTCAAAACAAGTCAGGGCCACCATGTACTCCACACCTAAACTCCAGTTGAGGTGTTTGGGTGAACATGAATTGATGGGAACGGCAGGTGAACACCTGGGTCTGACCTGGTTTACTACCTCCTCAAAGCACTAGGAGCCCTGCATAGCTACCTCAAGTCCTCACCAGGAGCTCCCCAAGCAATGAGAGTCTCCGCATAATCTGTCAGGTGCATCTTAGACCCCAGGCCCTGGCCTCAAAGCAGCAATGACTCCATGCATACTGTAAAAGCCTCTGGAAGGCAGCGTCCTGCAGTGACCATGATGGATACCTGGTCTGCCCAGCAACTGGTCCTTGGACCTGCTGGCTCCTGCATTCTCCCTCAGCAGTGCACTGCCATGCCATGCCTGTCTGCTCACCCTGGTGCTAGCAGAACTCAGTAAGACCTCACTGACAGTGAATACATAATTCCCAATCAAAACCCTGATTTACTCCACTGGGCACAGCAGTCTTTGGCCCTGGCACCCAAGCCCAGGTACTCACGGTTGGTCTGAGAGTGTTTCAGGGGTGGCCTTGGCAAGGTAGGTGACTGGCACTAGTCCAGTGCTGGGTGGTCCGGAGAGCCTTTGGGCAAAGATGTAGTCGCCCTCCTCCTTGAGGGCATAAAGTCTGTCCCCACGGCTGACGCTCAGTTCCTCTGCACAGCGAGCAGTGAAGTCGTAAAGGGCTCGGAAGAGCTGGGCCGGTGGAGCTGGGGAGCCGCGAGGCTCAACAGCCCCAGGCGGCTCAGGCACTGGGTCGATCTGGAGTCCCGAGATCCCGGGGAAGTCTTCCTCCGGCTCACCCGCCGGCCAGATCTTATCCCAGAAAAAAGACAGGAAAGTGAGCCGCTTCCGGAGGAAGGGTTCCATGCCTGGGGGCGTCGGACCAGGCTGCCAAGGGCGCATGGAGCTGGCTGGGTATCAGTACGCCAGGCCCACCGTGCAGCGGCAGCCGAAGCCGAGCACTGCAGCCATGAGCCAGGAGCCCAGGGTGCGAGGGAGAAACTGGAAAGGCCGGTGGGACAGCCAAGTGACCGTGCGTTCCCTGCCCTCGTTTCAACTTGGCACAGGATGTGAAGTGAAAGGCCACACCGACCCCCGCAGTCATTTAGAGGGGTACGCAGCAACACACACAGCCGGCTCCTGCTTCCAGGCTGGTGTACCAATGAGTGGGGCGGTGAATGAAACCCCCACCTCCACCCCTGGGCCGGGCCACACCCGCTGCGCCTCTGTCCTCTACCGCTATCACGCTTGGTGAGCGGGATCTCCCCCAGAGTGGCCGGCCTGGGAGTAAGAGAAGCTGGGCACAAACAAGGTTGGTGCCGCAGGTGGCTCCCAGTAGGCGGGGCAGAGGCGAGGAAGGGCCGGGCCAGGGCGCGATGATGTGGAGAGGAGTGGGGCGGGGCGGGCTGGTTGGGGAGGGGAAAGGGAAGCCCAGGAAGCCCAAGCCGCTCTTCACCTCCAGACCCCCAGGCACAGGCTGCTGGGGACTCTTCTACCCTGCTAGATGCGGGGCATCGGCCCTGGAAGAGCGGGGATGGAGAGTGCTGCTCATCACCTGCGGACAGATATTTATGAAACACTGCTTGAGTATTTAAATGTTGACCAAATCTTTTTATTTATTCTTTTTATGTGTTTGAGTGTTTTGTCTGCACATTGTGCAATGCCTGCAGAGGCCGGAAGAGGGCATCAGATCCTCTGAAACTAGAATTATGGAGAGTTGTTAGCCGCCATGTGGGTGCTGGGAATCAAACTGGGGTCCTCTGGAAGAGCAGCCAGTGCTCTTAACTGCTGAGCCATTGCTCCAGACCCAAAATCTTTTAACATCCCCAAAACTCTGTTCAAGGGCAGTTGCCAATAGCTGTGGGCAGCTTGTCCAGCCCAGCAGTGGCCTCTGCAGCAGATGCTCAGCACACAGTGAGTTCTTGGCATCCTGATTCCAATGTTATAAAATGGGATGTTGGTAGAGATCACAGGGTGCACAGTGGAGAGCTAGGTACATGGGGAGGAGGTGATGGGATGAGATTTCTCAGCCAGTCCATGTTCCGGAGATGGTTACTACCACTGCAGGGAGGAGAAGGTTTGGAAGTCTGAGTCCCCAGCTTGGAAATATTAACTAGGAGGTCAGCATGCAGAGAAGAGGCAATGGACAAGCCTCACATAGGCTCCCATCTGGTCCTGGATCCTCCTGTGTGTGAGCTGAAGTAAACTGTCTGCCACCCAGTGGTCCCCTGAATCAGGGATGTGGAGACCAAGTTGTAGCCAGCTCAGTTCTTAAACATGGTCTGGCCTCTCCCTAGCCCAGTAGTTTTAGCACTTGAGTAGTGCTCATTACTGAGCCTCCAGGTCATGTGATTGCTGCAAAACCTTCCTCCATAGCTTATATTTCAAACAGGTGTGACACCTGCCCCTTCCCCCTCTACCCTAGAAAAATGGATCGACTTCTCTCTGAAGCATCTGGAGCAATTTGTGAATCCTGATGTAGCAGAGATACCCATGAACTCACTGGTTCTGTTCAGCATCCCCAGTAACTGAGTCCCAGTCCTGAGCTTAAGCCTAGAAGGGGCAGGAACCCTGGATCCCAGGTTCTATGCCATGGAGATGCAGCCTGTTGGGAGTGGGTGTCTGGAAAAGGCAATTACAAATACAAATTTAAGGGAGTACCTGGAAGGGGCCCTGATGCTCACACCTACCTACCTTGCAGATAATTTGCCTCCACCTACCCTGACAGTATAAGCTGGAATTTTGCACACCAAAGTTCTTAAGTTACTTAACATCAGTGATGTGCCTTCCTGGTAAGAAACCAAGTTTCCTATCTCCAGCCTGTGAAGCCACAGGAAGCACCCCCCCCCACCCCTGGTTGTGGGAGGCCTCCCTCTGAAATGACCACAGTAAGATCAGGCAAAGGGCACTGAGGTGCAGATTCCTCCAGGACACTCCCTTACTCTCAAAGTCTCTGGGACTCAGCACATTCCATTTGTAACTGGAGCCCAGAGACAGGCTGGTGGTCAAGCAAGGAGGATTCTGCTCTGTCCAATGGTCTAGCCCCCAACCCTGGTCCCCAGACCTTCTTTCAGCTTAAGTGAGATGGGAGACTGAGAACTGCTATCAGAAAGAGCCCAGAGAATTCCAATTTATTTCCCAGTGGCGAAGAGAGACAGCTCCTCTCCTCCAGGACTGGAACCCTCATTGTCCTGAAGGTCACTGCCCTCAAGACTCAGGGAAGCCCTGTCCACAGGCTCAGAGGACCTGCCCATCCAGGGTCACACAAGATACATAACAAAGTGGCTCATCCCATGGAGTGACTTGTACACCCAAGGGAACTGTATAGGGCCAGAGAAGACAATCCAGAACCATATGTTGAGTGGTTCCATTCACAGGACACTCTTGAAATGACACAAGCATAGAACTAATGTTTGCAGGGGTTACAAGAGATGACTTGGAGGTGGGTTGGCCCTGCTGGGCACCATGAGGTAGCTTTGTGGCCAGACTTGCCCTGTGTCCTAGTGTGACCTTATACTACAGCTCTCTGAGAATTCCCATCTGAGAAAATGGTTGAAGGGAGTATAGGGTCTTCACTCCTACAACTGTGTATATGCCAGGCATGGTGATACATACCAGCACCTGGGAGGCAGAGGCAGGTTGTGAGTTCCAGTCTGGTCTATATATCCAGTGCCAGGCCAGCCAGGACTACATAATGAAACCTTGTTTAAAACAAAACAAACAAACAAACAAACCCAGTAAATTGTATGTGAATCTGCACACTTCAAACTGAAAAGTTTAATTTAATTAAAAAATAGATGAAAAATTAGGAATGGAATAAAATAGGGGTTGGGTGGGGCCAAGGAGCCTGCAGAGATGAAGGACAAGCCCAGTCCCAGAATGGGGAGTTGACCTGGACCACCTCCTTCCTCTGAGGAAAGGCTGGGGCAGTGGTGGTCTTCTTGCAGCTTCATCCCCGCCCACTACCAGGGGCCACCCCCCCTTCAGATGGCACCCACCCCTTTCTCCAATCTGGCTTCTGTCTCTCAGACCACAAATCAATAACAGCCACCATAGCTAGAGCCTAAATGAGCACAGAACCAGCACAGGGGGAGGAACTCCTCCCTCCTCCTCCTGCACCTCCAGTCTCAGTTCCGCAGCTGTTACAGGCTGCCAGCAGGAAAACCCTCCCTAGCATGTCAGGTGATGGCAGGAGGGATGGAAGCTCTGCCACTGGGTGGAGTCAAGACCAGAGAGAAGGCAGCAGCTTTGGGGTGTCTGAAACTCTGAGACCCTTGTTGGAGATGACCCCAAGCTGGCTTCTAGGTGGAGGACTCCTGGATAATGATCCCAAGAGTTCAGAGTCCCGGTTGGAGTATGTGGGCAGCTGAGTATTTAGGAAACTGCATTGAGAATCCCTGTAGTTGTGGAGACCCCATTTATCCAGATCAGTGGGGAGGAAACGAGAGTCAGGCCTGAAAAAGCCAACACCCCTCACCTTGCTGACTGCTACGATGACCCCATCCACCTGTTCTCAGTCACCTCCCTTCTCCATCTCCTTTGAAATCCTCAGGGTGTCGCTTGTGCTGGGACATCAAGCAGGTACCCCTTCGCAGTACCCCATTGGTACCTTCGGGACAGTTCCATTGCTGGTGGGGCGGGCGGATGCTGAGCTTTCTTTGTGTTGATGAGGCCTTGGACTCAGCCCTCATCGAGGGAAGCCAGGCCAGATGTGTGCGTCACAAGGGCCCACGGTTCCCATGGCAACACGCCGGCAAGAAGTGTGAGCAGCGCTAACCCGGGACCAGGTGCCCCACGGCTCTGGCCCTGCTCGGTCAGGGAGGCCGGCGGCCAGACACTTGTAGAGGAGACCTGGGGCTCGCAGAGGCAATCCGGAAGAGGAGTAGTAGGTAGAGGGGCTGGTGGTAGGTCTCCAAGGCAGAGCAGATAGGCTCTGTGGGGAAATTTCCCTGTGGGGAAATTCGTTCTCCATAGGGCTTTCTAGCTGAGAGGGGCTATGTTGGGCCAGTCTTGGGATCCTGGTCCTGCTTGCTTGCACTCAACCACCATTCTCTGCTGTTTTGGGGTGCTTTTTCTAACCCTCCTACCCCGGTAAGACCAACTTGGGTTGGTCTTTGGGGGGTGAGGCCAACTTGTGTCACAACCTTACCAGGAACCTGTGTGTCCTTGAGCAAGTACCCAGTCTCTTAGTTCTGTTTGTCATTCATCCAAACCCAGTTTCCACCACCTGGGTTCCCAGGTGAAGCAGTGGCCCACCACAGAGTCACCACGTACCAGGGACAGCAGACAGGATGCTGGCCCCTTCTCCAAGGAACTCTGCCGCTGGGCCTTGTGGCACACCTCTCTCTCTCCACAGATATCCAGATTTGGGGATCTAGATTTGGGGATAAAGAGAAAAGGGCAGATTCTGGGGTCAATGATTCCAGCCTTGACCTTGGAATAAGCTGAACCCAGTGATACACTCCTAAAGTCCCAGTCACTCAGGAGCTGAGATGAGAAGACGGTTTGAGTGCAGGATTCGGGGGCAAGCCTGAGCAACAGAGCCATGTCAAATTAAAAGTGATCATGGAAGATCAAGCTACCAAGCTTTTAGCCTCAGACTTCCCATCTGTGAGATGGTGATACTGAATCTGCTCCTTCCAGGGGCTTTTCCTGTGGGGTAGTGAGCCATCCATGTACACAAGGCTCCCTGTTGATGTGAGGGTGATGAAGAGGCTTCTTCTCTGAGTCCTGTCTTTGATTAACTTTGTCCTCAAGCACTACAGGATGTTGAAGTATACAAGGTCCCTAGAGAGTACCAGAAGCCTTGGACAGTCCACCAGTACCCAGAAGGTAGAGGCTCACCCTGAATTCTCTTCACAGCCCTACAGGCATCATTCTCCACCAAGGTCAGGTCACACAACTGACCAGCAGCCCAGGGCTTCTGCCCTGGTCACTTTGGTCCTGTAGTCCTATATCCCACCTTCTTTTTTTTTTTTTTTTTTTTTTTTTTTTTTTTTGTCTTTTTTGAGACAGGGTCTCCCTGTAGCCCCAGCTGTCCTGGAACTCACTATGTAGACCAGGCTGGCCCCAAACTCACAGAGATCCACCTGCCTCTGCCTCCCAAGTGCTGGGATTAAAGGCGTGCGCCACCACACCCAGCTTGTATCCCACTTTCTTAGTCATACTAGCTCATCACCACAGAGAACTTTTGGCCTCTTGGTAGAGATTTCATGTCCCTCAACAACTACTTTTGTCTAGTACCCAGACTGCCTATCTGGTCCTCTAAGCAGTCACTCTCCAAAAAGCTGTGCCCCAACAGAGGGCAAAGGCTGTTATGGGTCAGAGGTGGGTGTGGGGCAGAAGGCCTGGTCTGGGAGCAGGGCCAGTCTACTGCCACAGCTCATGGCCAGTCATCACTCTCAGCTCCCAGGTGACAATGAACTTCCAGGTAACAGGCCTGGCCCTGGACAAGATGAAGCTGAAGAGTCCACAGTCCTTCCTGGACTCTGAGGAGGTAGAGGAGGCAGAGGACCAGCAGCTGCTGGAGCCAGAGGCTTGGAGGACCTACATGGAGCGCCACAACATGCTGCGTGAGTTCCTGACCACAGAGCTGAGTCCCCAGCTGCTCAAGCGCCACCACGTCCGCATGCAGCTACTCAAGAAGTGCTCGTACTACATTGAGATCCTCCCTAAACACCTGGCCCTGGGTGACCAGAACCCAGTGGTGTTGCCCAACACCATGTTCCAGCTCATTGACCCCTGGAAGTTCCAGCGCATGAAGAAGGTAGGCACAACACAGACCAAGATCCAGCTCTTGCTGCTTGGAGAACTGCTCGAGCAGCTAGACCGAGGCCGGGCAGCACTGGACGCCCTGCTTGAGGCACCTGATCCACAGCCCTTCCTGGCTGGCTGGGGGCTCGTGGAGCAGCAGTTGGCAGACTTGTCAGTTGTCATGGACAACTTCCTGGCCATCATGGCTCCAGGGCACCTGCATGTCAAGCACCGCCTTGTGTCTGACATTGGAGCCACCAAAATCCCACGCATCCGACTTATGCTAAGCACTAAGATGCCAGTCATGTTTGATCGGAAGGAGTCAGTGGCCTATCAGGACTGGGTCAGCTTGCGCTGGTTTGTTACCAGCCAGCCAGCAGCACCAGAGCAGTATGAGCTGCGCTTCAAGCTGCTGGAGCCACAGACACAACAGGAGTGTACACAGTGTGGCGTTGTCCCTGTGGCCTCCTGCACCTTTGACGTCCATAACCTATTGCCCAACCGTACCTACAAGTTCACTATCAAGAGGGCAGAGAGCTACACCCTGGTGTATGAGCTCTGGCAGGACAGCCTCACCCTGCAGACCATGCCAGGGCCCCCTGAAGGACCTGCTTCCAGTTGTCTGGGCAAGCCTAGCCCACCCCTGACTGTACCTTCTGAGAGACGATTTTCTAATATTTATCCCTAATAAAGAGTATAAACACATTGGCTGGAGAGATGGCTCAGCGGTTGGGAGCATTAACCACTCTTGGACCTGGGTTCAATTACCAGAACCCACATGGTGGCTGACAACTCTCTGTAACTCCAGTTCCAGGGGAATCCAACGCTCTCTTCTGACCTCCATGGGCATTGCACAACACGGGTACACTTACCTACATGCAGGCAATACACTCATCCACATAAAATGCAAATAAGCAGCCAGGTGTGGTGGCACACGCCTGTAGTCCCAGCACTTGGGAGGCAGAGGCAGGCGGATCTCTGTGATTTCAAGGCTAACCTCGGCTACATAGTGAGTTCCAGGACAGCTGGGGCTACAGGGAGACCCTGTCTCAAAAAAAAATGCAAATAAGCAAAATATATTAAAGAAAAGAGTATAAACACACCAAATTAAAGACATAACCCTACTTAGGCCTTAAGGCAGCAGTAGCCATGTGTTTTCCTTATGGTCCAACATCCCACAAATCCCAGGACCCTTGTGCCTTCTGTCTTTTCCAGGGGAGCTCCAGGCTGGACCTTCCAGGACATTTGGCTATTGGAGCAGGAAGTGCTGGCCACTGGTACTTGGCTGTCACCCTCCAATAATGAGAGCTACTCTGAGAGAGTTCAGTCTCCTCAGCCCCAGCACCCCATCCCCACCCTCACAGTCAGAACCAGCTTTCTTTATCTATCTACTAGGCTGGAGGCTCCCTAAGGGGATGATACTTGGTGTTCTGTCTGTACACTACTGAGGGCAATCATAACCTTGGTACTAGCATTGTAGCTAGCTGCCTTGGAGCCAGGATCCCCAGAACCAAATGACATTTTATTATTATTACTTTTTTTTCTCGGTCTTTTTGAGACCGGATCTCCCTGTAGCCCCAACTGTCCTAGAACTCACTATGTAGACCAGGCTGGCCTTGAACTCACAGAGATCTACCTGCCTCTGCCTCCCAAGTGCTGGGATTAAAGATGTGTGCCACCACGCCCGGCTATTTTTTTTTTATGTGTATGCACGTATTGCCTGCATATAGGTAAGTGCACCCATGTTGTGCAATGCCCCTTGGAGATCAGAAGAGGCTGTCAGATCCCCTGGGACTGGAGTTATGGACAGTTGTTAGCTGCCATGTGGGTGCTGGGATTTGAACCCAGGTCGTCTGCAAGAACAGCCAGTCTTCTTAACCGCTGAGCCATCTCTCCAGCCCCTATTAGTATTATTTTTAAAAAGGCTTACATTCTCTCCAAGAAAAGCTGAAGCTCATGGGCACCTCAAGGTGGGTGAGGGTCCCAGCAAGGAATGCTGGCCTGGAACCTCCCCAAGACACTCATTGGTGCCTAGTTTCTGTGGCATGACCACCCCTGTAGTACATGGACCCTTCTTGCCAGCTGCTGGCATCCAGCTCACACAAGTGACCAGGCTCTTCACTGCTGTCTAGGGCACTAGGGACTTCCAGCCTGGTCATATCACAGACACACACACACACACACACACACACACACACACACACACAAACCAACTCCAGGTCTAGAGAGAGTACCTTGTACCCCAGGCAAAGCAACAGGGCTGGTAAAGTAAATCAGTTCAGAACTGACCCAGCACACTCTGGTCTCAGCTTCCTTCCCACTGTGGTAGACACTCTGAAATGACCAGGTATCAGGAACGGGGCATCTTCCCCCACTAGCAGGGAGTGGGTTCATGACTGGGATGGGAATGATCATAAGGCTCCAGCTCCCCCACTAGAGGTGTTCTTTGGCAACTAGTGGCTCCTTTCCAGGCACCTCCACTACTGGCCACCCATGGTTCCAGCAAGTCACTCAGGACTGTCACTTTCTCTGGTTGTGGCTCGGGGCTCCTTGTTTCTGTATGTCCCATGGGATAGAGCCATTTTTAGGGGTCCAGGGTAGATCCTAAGCGGCCTGTGTGTTGGGGGTACTGGTCATGCCCACCCCACAAATGAGGGGAGGCCTGGAATGGGGGCTAGATAAGGGAAGTATGTGGGTCTGGTGGCCTGGCATGCCAGCTGGGGGATTAACTGGGACCTGGAGTCTCCCATTTCCCACCATGGCCCTGCCTTGTACTCCATCAGGCCCAGAGAGATGCAGCTGCCACTATAGGCCTTTGGTGCTAGGGCACCAGTTCACACACAGCCTAGCCTGCTCCCCCACCTACACAACATCCCATCAGTGCCAACCACTTCCCAAGGCCCACTACCCTGCCTAGACCACACTTTGCATGTTTATTCCTGATGGAAGCTGCGCTTTCTTTCTGAGCTCCAACACCAACTTAAAAGCATAACTCACTGTCAGGTATAAGTGCAGTTCCTGCTTCCTACCAGGTTCAAGTTTCCTCTAGAAAGCCCTCCCTGATTGGGAGGGGAGACCCACTGCCCCTATCTAGGAGTGCGTGATTATCTCAGGAAAAAATCCCTAAGCTCTACTACATATTTATAACTACTCTGGAAATACTCTTTAAGCAGTGCCCCTTGCTGTCCATCCCTCTAGGAACACAGGCCCCATGGACCTCTTTTCCTTACAAGAATTTCCATGAACTCCCACCCATCTGCTCCTTCTGGGCCTGTCATGTCAGCTGGGTAGGAGAAGCTTATTTGACCACAAGTCAAAGGATAAATCAATCCATGCCTCAAGTTGACCTGGAAGGGGCTGTGGGGCCGAAGGTACTAGAGGACAACTTCAGAACAGATAAGATGTCGCTGAGGCCACAGACATGAGGACTTTGGACCTGCCTCACAGGCTGCCTTGGAGTCAGCCCAACCTGGGGACTGAGTGCAGTCTGCTGGGCTTACAACACCAGACCTGCTTTCCAGCTCTGGCCCATCTGTGCTAAGTTACCCTCTAGTTTCCTATGACTGTGCAGCCATGGTCTCACCATAAGGTGGGGTGCCACCAAGCCCTTCATTCTTCCAGGTTCTATACTCAGCTCCTATGGGCCCTGTGACAGCCTCAGTGGCAAGATGAAGGCCAGTCCTGTCTACCCCTAGCCATACCAGAAAATACCCACAAGTGAAAAGAGCTTTCAGAGCAGTTTTTATAATAAAAGCATCCAGTTATATAAGGTATAACCTGAGAAAAGATACAAAATTGGAATGTAGAAATTTGATTTCTAAAAACTATATCAGATACTCTTCACATGAGGCTCTGTGGTCAGGTCACAAGGAACCCACCCTCTTAGTACAGACTTGCAGCATCTCTGACCTCTGGAGAGGAGGGCCATACTGAGGAGGAAGCTGGCCCCAGCTTTGGTGCTTCCTGGAAGCGTAAGAAGGGAAGGCATAGATGGGGGATTTCACCCTTCAGCCCTGTAGGAAAGTACAGCTCCAGGCAGGCTGTCCTAAAGGCATGAAAGCTTGGTGTAGGAGCACAGGCTCAGTAGTCCTGGGACAGCTCATTCCCAGCTCCCTCTCCACAGGGCCACTCTTCACATCCCAGGAGTCAGCTGGGCAGGGGTAGAGAGGGCATTTGGATTAGTTTTGCTCTCCGCTATCCCTGCCTCAGCAGGCAGCCCTATAGGACACAAGGTAGAAAGGATAAAAAGTCTCTCTCCTCCAGGGAGGCCTCAGTAAGAGACACTGGCTTTAGGTTATTAAAACTAGAAAATAAGGCAAATGCATACACAGTACCCAATGCAAACACAGATGGGTCCTAAGGTCAAACTACAGCCTCAGAGGGGTCCCCTTCCTGTTTGAGACTCCTCAATAATAGCAGAGGTATCTCCTAGGGTTCCTTGTGATCACTAAGACATTTGCCTGACACCAACTGCCTCAGGAAAAGCAGCAGTCAGGATCAAGGGGGCCCACTTCCAGCTCTTTCCCTTCTACTCAAGTTCAGGCATAAACAGGAAGGTCATCATCAGTAGGCCTATTTCTGGCTCAGGAAGAGGCTGCCACCTCACAAGACTGTCACTGCTGGAGGATCACAGCCAGCCACCAGGGCCTTATGCAAGCTGACAGCAGAGGTGGCGGGCTGATGTTCAGCTGTAGCCACCAGAGCCATGGCAATCCTGCTGTATGCCCAGGCCCTCAGCAGAGAACAGGGGACAAATCCTTGGCCACTGGCACATCAGGGGCTGAGCAGGTAGGAATTCTTTAGGAAGATAAGGCAGACTTTCTCTGGACCAGCACCTTCTCAGCTGGCACAAGACTGTTCTGGGCCTCACAGAAGTCCAGGAGACGACGCCAGAGTGGACAGCAGCGCAGCAGTACATGATCTCCTGTAGGGAGGGAGAGTCAAGGTAGCTCTCAGCCTCACCCCGAACAAGCCTGGCACTGCCTTGCCCCAGCCCTTTCCAGGAACCCCAAACCCTCACCAATGAGGCACAGTCCCTCTTGGGCCCGGGTGATGGCCACGTTCACTTGGTTGGGGTCCACAACAAAGCCCAGAAACTTCTTGATCCAACTTTTGGTCGGCCGCTGGTCCACATCACTCTTGTGGCATGTGCGGACTGTGCTCACCAGCACATAGCGCCACTCGCTTCCTGAGGTGGGGGTTAGTTCACAGCTGTTCTCCATGCCTACTATATCCCCTGCCCACCCTCACCCACATCCAGCCTCACCCTGGCTCTTGGTGATAGAAGTCACAGTAACTCCAATGACCCCTGCCCGCATGAGACCCTTGTTGATCGCAGCAGCCTGTGCATTATAGGGTGTAAGGATGGCGATGTCTTTAGGATCCACTGTCCGGTCCAGGATCAATTGCTTGGTGATGCGAACCTGAGAAGAAAAGGGGGCAAGTGGAGTTGGACCCCAGTTTCTCTTCTGTCCTGAGCATTGGGGCCTCATTTGATCCTAGCCCCACCACACAATGAAGTTTACCCCTGACCTCCCTCCCCCCTCCTTCCCTCGTTCCCTCCCTTCCTCCCTCCAGGAAGCCTTCACTGAACCACCAGGCACCAAGGAGAGTATCTCTGACACTTACCACCTCTGCTACCTCCTCCAGATTGGCCTTGGAATTCTCATTCCCATCCTCTGTGGATACCAGTAGCCTCTGCTCATGGCCCTGTACATAGCCAAAGATGACAGAGCAGCTCTTCTTGCCAGCATGGCCCAGGATGCTGGGTGGACGCCTCAGGTAAGGGGAGGTCTTCAGCTTCCTCCCATAGAACTCCATGGAAGGGAAGGCGCAGATGCCCTCATGCATGCGGTACTGTGTGTCTAGCATGATGGCATCCCTATGATACCTCTCGAAGAGAGATCGGTCCATCCCCAGATTTCTCAGCTGCTCATTCTTGACCACAGGCCGCAGCTGCTTGTGGTCCCCAAGCAGGACAACCTAGAGGCACAAGTAGATGTGACCCAAAGGGATCCCAACCTCCTGGCCATCTTCAACCAACAGTAATGCTCACCTATTATACCCCTAGCACCCCAACACAGGCTGCCTCCAGGGATCCCACGGAGCACTAGCTCACTGCCAGCCTCACCTTCTTAGTTTGTGAGAAGCACACCAGGGGAATAAGGGTTTCTGGCTCTGTGGCCATGCCTGCCTCGTCGATAAGGATCTGTTGAACATCCAGGATTTTCAGGCTGCCCGAAGCCGCACAGGAGCATGTGCACAGGATGACTGAGTGCCGGTTGAGCTCATATTTGCGTGCCTTCCCCAAGACCCTCTTGTACCTGTATGAGGTACCACCCCTGTCAGCCTACTGCACTTGCCAGCAGGCAGCTCCACCTCCCATCCCACTGCTTACACCACAAGATCCTCTCTTGAGAGTATTTTCCCTTCCCGCAGCTGGGCATCAAATCTCTTGATCTCTGTTGCGTATGGATTGGCAGGCTGGCGGATCCGGTGGTGAAGGGTGATGCTCCTGGAGGGCAGAGCCTTTGTGAATCCCTGTCCAATATAGGGTCCCTTGCTACCATCCCAGCAGACAGGCTGTACCTAAGGTTCTTGTTCGGCTTTCCCTCCTGAGAGGTCTTGCTGAGCAGGCTTCTGCTACTCACTCCTGGCAGCGGGAACTCAGTGGCCTCTGCCTGCTCGCCATATACCCGCAGGGGCCTCAGCTCTTTTCTCCAACTCAGGAGCAGTCCTGGGGCAAATTAAGATATGAGAGACCGTCCCTTGGTGCCCAACACCTTCTGGTAGTCCCACATCTCATCGCTAGCACACCTCCCAGGACGTCCACCGACTTGTTGGAAGGGCCACAGTATAAGACACATGGACCTCCCAGCTGTTTATCTCCACTAGAGCTGCTGCTGGTTGGCATCTGCTCCTGGTTTAATCTGTGGAACCAGTATACGATGTGGAGGCCCACGACGGTCTTCCCTGTGCCTGTTGACAAGGAGCAGTGTGAGTCCCTGTGGCCATACCTGCCTGCTCAGGACGTCTCCAGTCCCTGCAAATGGGCCTTACCTGGTGGACCCTGGATAACTGTAAATTGCTTCTCCAGAGCCCTCCTTATGGCCCTGTTCTGACTAGGGTTCAGCTTATGGCATCCTCCAGGGAGGCTGTAGGATGGCCTTTCCAGGAACCTGTTTTGCCTTTCCAGGAACCTGCTTTGCCTTTCCAGGAACCTGCTGGTAGGTACTGAGGGGACAGGAGCCAGGGATCCCTGAGCACCGTGCATTAGATTGAAGTAGGGGAGATGAGAGGCAGACCTACTACTGTGGAAGGTGTTCTGGTGAAGCCTGTGGCAGGGCTCAGGGATGGGCCGGCCCAGAGCAATACTGATGACCAGTGGGGATGACTCTTTTAGCCTACGCACAGCTCTCTCCTTGCGGCTGGGGACGAGGAGAGATACCAGAAAATTAATAGGACTCTCCTTGGAGGAAGGCCATGCCCTCCCAGGAGAAGGGAACCCAAGGAGGTCATGGCCCTGGCCTTGGATGGTAGAAGCCACTTACAGGTCAGGAAGCTGCTTGGATAGTACCTCCACAGTGAAACGAGTGCTGGGTCTCAGCACCTCTTCTGGAACCTTCTCCATGGCCATGTGGTGGATGAAGAAATGCACCTGCTTGGGAGCCCCCTGCCCATCATCCGCATTCTCCTGGTCCCAATCATCAGCTAGCCCATGGTCCCAGTCACAAGCCAGTCCATGGGCAACCCAGGTGTATGTTTCAGGATCAATGCTCAGGAAGGGGCCAAGGCAGCTGGACCTAGGGGGTAGGCTGGCAAGGGGTACTGGGAGTCCCTCAAGCCGAATGCAGAGGTAGAAGCCAAAGTGGACATTGATACAGTTCTCCTGGAGGAAAGCATCTTCCAGCTGGAAGGTGCCCTGCAGCTTTCCTTGTGATGTCTGCTCTGTGTCCCAGGAAATATGCACATCCTGTAGCACAATGGAGTCGTTCTCAGTGACAGCATTGGTGAGTGACTCTAGGGAACAAAGTGGCTCCCACACACATGAGTATTCGCTGACTTCGCGGTACTGGTCCTGCAGGGCCTGGTGCACATGGCTTGAGAAGCAGTCACCTGGCCTTTCCATATGGTCCAGGCAGAGGCTGAAGCCGGGCACCACAGTCCAGAGTTGCAGCGTTGGGGTCAGGAAGCCCCGCTGCAGGCTGGCACCAAGCTGTACCTGCAGTGTGTCCCCATCACCCAGCTCACAGGCCACTTCCACAAAGTGGCCACAGCGGCTATGATGCACCTGCACCAGCTTCCTCTGTTGAGATTCCTTCTTGCTCTGCTCCCGGATGAGAGCAGCCACTTCAGGCCAGCGCTGCTCCTCTGCCAGCATCAACAGCCGCCTCCATAGGGCTGTATCAACAGTCTGGGTATGTGGATCAAACTTGGTGCCAGGCAGTGGGGAGGGTTTGGGCACTTGAACTGAGTAGATGCGGCGCCTCCATAGAAGCCTCAGGCCTGGCTGACCCACTAGTTCTTGGGGATGCTCGGCCAGCTGCAGGGAATGGTAGTGGACAGGGCAGGGGTCAGGCAGGGTTTCTCGGTTGACAGGGAAGAGCAACTTGAAGCAGCGGGCACCCATCTCAACATCCATCACAAAGCCCAGCTTGTCTCGAGGCTGGGCCTTCAGCTGGGTTGCCAGGTGCAGACTGTAGGCCCGCCGTTGGTAGCTCTGGGCACACGCATACCGGCGGCTAAAGTCCTGACAGAGGCCATCGATGTCCCTGGTAGAATATGCACAGCCCCCATGGCCCAGTGCCAGCAGGATCAGCCGCTGCAGCACCACATCCAGATACCTGCGGATGGGCGATGTTGCCCATGTGTACCAGTCCACCTGCAGTGAGTAGTGGCCAGCTTGTTGCTGCTCACCCTGGCTAGAACGGCAAAACACTGAGCGACCCAGAGCCTTTCGGAAGTCCAGGCATGCAGGAGCCAGCGAAGGGTGCATGTCATCTGTGGCAATGAGGTCCACCATCTGGCTATAGTCCTGAGTACAAGCTGCAAGGTGCACCTGTTTCCAGAGAGAACTCAGGAGGTACAGCTGCTTTTTGGGGGTGCTGTGGGTACGCAAATGCTGTGATAGGTGCAGTGACAAGGGCACCAGCTCTCTGTGCTTCTCACACACAGTGTTGAGTTGGTGGCTGCTAGGTGTGGGTTGCCACCTTAATGGCGTGACTGTCTGCGTGTGCCTGTTGCCCACCAGGAATTCAGCCACTTGACTGTTAAACTGGATCATGTACTCCTGGACCATGATGTGGGCCATGCGGTAGCCCAGCACACTGTCCTCATCTGGCGGCTCATAGTAGCAGGCGGCCAGAAGGCGGTGCCGGCGCAGCACCTGGGAGAAATAGCAGGCAGCCACAACGCAAGTGTCCACAGAGTCCAGGTGGGCCGGCAGCTCTAAGCCAGCCCCTGGGTGCCCCTTGATCAGTTCCTCAGCCTCCTCATAGGACAGCTGGCGGTCAGAGCAGATGATGGAAGGTGCAAAGCGCAGGCTCTGGAGCTGGCCACTGCCCTTCTTTATGGTGAGGAAGAGAGAGATGGTGAGGCGATCCTGGCCTGGCAGAAGGCTGAGTGCATCCTGGCACAAGCTGGCGGGCAGCATAAGTACTGGCTCCCTGCAGGGGGCATAGAACACGGTGCCCTGACGGCGGGCTTCTACATCCAGTGGCCCATCCTTGGGCACTAAGCTGGCCACATCGGCAATATGCACAGCCACCTCATACTCTGGGCCAAGGTCCCGAACACTGAGAGCATCATCGAGGTTGCAGGCACCCTGGGGGTCCACAGTGAAGGTCAGGAAGTGGCGGCAGTCCTCTCGGTGACTGGTGGCCATGTTGAGCTCCGAGGTATATTTTTGCAAAGCCTTGGAAACAGAGAGTGGGTCTGGAGTGGAGGCCTTCAGGCCATGCTCCAGGTCAAGGATATAAAGGCCCTGCTCCCAGGTGACAACCTTGGGCAGCACCTCCAAGACAATGCCTAGCGGGTAGTAGAAACGTTCTCGCCACACAACGATGTGGATCCAGAATAGCCGGGTGTACCGGTCCTCAGGCATCAGACGCTCATGTCTTACACGCTGTACCTGGCCTTGAAGGAGGCGGTGGATGGGAACCTGTTGTGGGTCCTTCAGCTCTGCCACAAAAATTTTGGTCACAGAGCCATTGATGGGGATCATGATGCGGGGATCCCACTCGTCCATCCGACACACAAAGGCTAGCTCATGTCTTCTTCTTTTTAGCACACCCACCACGCGACCCTGCAGCCTCCCTGGAGTGCCCCTGTCATCAGCTGCCTGACCCAGAACCTGTACCAGTACCTCATCCCCTGTGAAGGCCATGCCGCAGTTCAGGCGACCCCTGACCTGGATAGGACTAGGGGTCACATCATCCAGAGGTGTGGCCAATGCCCGCTCAAAGGTCTCCTGCAGGAAACTACAGCGGCAGTATTGCTTGGGGTCTGAGCGCAGTAGCTTGCGAAGCATCGCTGAGGGCAGGTTCGTGTACTGTGGAGCCTGCTTTGGGAACTTGGGGCAAACCATGGTGTCCAGCAGCCCGTCTTCCCTAACAGTCACAGTCACTTGCCGACTCTCATCAAGGAGTTCCTTCAGGATAGCGTCGTCAGGGTTGAGCTCCCATTCGGAGGGCCAGAAGTCAGACTCTGAGTCCTCAGAGTCTTCATACAGGGTGGATACTCTTGGTGTGGTATCTCTAAGGGCTGAGACATCTCCCCTTTCGATGTCCCCTACTGCTGCCTCGGCCTGTGCTGTGGATGCTGAGCTGGTCCCAGCCTCTGCCTTCACTGTGACAGTGTTCCCCTCAGCCATGGGCCGCTGCAGGACCTGTGCCACGGCCGTGGGCTCTGCAGCTAGGCCCCCTGTTCTGAGTGTCAAAGAAGCCCAGTGCTGCCTCTGGGCCACACCCTGCTCGATCTGCCCCAGTGACAGGTCCTCAGGGAAGACGCTGTGATGTTGCATGCACTCACAGATGAAACTTTTCCAGAGCTTTCTGCAGGCTCCAGAGGAACAGAGAGCCACAGCATCTCCCACAGCTACCAGCTGGGACTGGGCACGGGTCATGACCGTGTTCAGCACACGGGGGTCATTGAAGAACTCTGAAGTTGGTGTTCCAGGGCTGAGCAGACTATGGCAGTTATGGACAGAGCTCAGGACCACCACCCGGAACTCACGCCCTGAAGGAGACACAAATTGGATGACCAGGCAGGACTGGTCAGATAGACACCTGCCCCAGACCCACCCCACATATGCAAGACTGAGCAATAGACTGAAAGCTGCCTCCCTACTAGACCAGCTTTGGCCCTCACTATTATCACCCACCTGGTAGGATCTCAAAGCTGCCAACAGACACTTCACCCAGATTCTTCCTCCTCAGCTCCTGCCTCAGAGCACTGACCTGCAGACATCAAGCCCTGAGTTCTTGGAACCTGTTGCCCAGCAAGGAGTGCCCCTCCTACCAAGTCCCATGTACCATCATGGCACGGTCACATAGTTCAGCCAGCAAAAGGAACAAAACAGCCCCAAGACGTTGGTGGCCAGACGGGACAACTCACCTGGGCACCATGGGAGACAACACAGATGTGTCTCTGTTCCCGGGGTCCCCAGCAGTGGGGCCAGGTGTTGTAGATCTCTTGCACTTTCTCCACTACCTGGGCAACCTCGGCTGAGTTGAGCCAGGATGTCATGGACATGTCCTGCTCAGGACTGCCTGCTACGTGGCAGAACATGAGAGGGTAGTATTGGGGGTGGCGTGGGACTTTGCCACTGGCCTGGATAGGGCTGCCCTTGGCCACATAGAAGTGGTGGGAGACAAAATTGATGATGGCTGTGGTGGAGCGGTAGTTTTCATGGAAAATGATACGACTCTGCTGGGCGAGCTTGTGCACCTCCTGCTGGTAGTACAGGAAAAGGCGGTACAGCAGTGTGTGCCCAGCTGCCTTAGTCCTGGGTACACTGAAGAGCCTAGGTGTGACCTGCATGTGGTCCCCTGCCAGCACTACACGAGTAAGCGGCAAGGCATAGGCCAATGGGATGAGAGCCTCACACTCCAGCATTTGGGCTGCCTCATCGATGAAGATGTGAGAGAAGAAACCAGATGGCACCTGGAGCTCACGGGCCTGGGAAGTAGTGGTGACCACCAAGCGGTGATGCACCAGCTCTGCCCCTGTGGGTGGGCGAAAGGCCTGGCGGTCCTCCGTCAGGCAGCAGTACTGTAGTGTGGTTGAGTCAGTCTGTCTTGGAGGGCGGTCTGTGTACATCACCCGGAGTGGAGACGCCTCTGGGTGGCCTCTGCTGACATAGCCATGGAAATACTCCCGAATATAGATGTCCGCAGCACTGTGGGAGGGATGAGGCATGTGGGCTGCTGGTTCAGACCTCAGGCTGCTGGCTATAACATGTGCTCGGCCCTGCCTGGATGCCAGGAACATCCATGAGGCAAATGATAGTCGGGGGTCTTGCCCAGGACCACAAATGTTCTCAAAGGGGACATAAAGTAAAGATACAGGGAAAGTCAGAGTCCAGACCTCAAGAGCCTGAGTGGTCAGGGAAGATTTGGAAAAGGAAGTGGTTTCTGAGTTGAGTCCAAGGAGGAAGGTAAAGGAGCTGACAGTGGCCTGAGACAGCCCAGGGTAGCTGAAGGCTGCACTGATCCTGAACATATCTCCTGGGTGCTACAAGCATTGGCAACAAGAACTGATGCGTAACTCTCAGGGGGAGAGCCAGAGTTAAGCGGCCAGGGAGGTGCTGCCTGGCATCTTCTAGGTGAGCCTGTCTTTTATCCTCCAAACCCCAGCACAGTCCAGAAATTGACTCAGGGCATACAGCCACCATTCTGGGCTCTTCCTTTTACCCCCATTCTAGGCTAAACGGGGACTCTGTGCCTGTCATAATATGTGGTGTTAGGGAACTAAGAAAACCACATTAGCCAAAGAGGAACTTCTTGGTTGAATAATCTGTTTCTATAAAAAAATAAAAATAAAAATAAAAAAACCAAAGAGCCTTGCCCAGGAAGCATGGGTAGGCTAAGACACATCACTATCCACAACTCCCTCCTCGGTCCAGGGCTTCTGGGGAGGTACCCATGGCTCGTCACCACACAACAGATCCATTTACTCAAAGGCAAGGGCAACCAGCCACTAGAAGCATCCTCATGAGAAATAGAAGGCTGGACACCTTGAAAGGCAGGGCAGGCTGGCAGCAGCTCTAGACTCACCTGTTGGTATGTGTACAGATGAGCACCTTGGTGTGGGGCTGCTGGACAACCTCAAAGGCGGCCATAGCCAGTGTGTAGGTCTTGCCGGTGCCAAAGGGGCCATAGATGAGCAGTGGTGGTACAGGCTTTGTGCCCTCAGGGCTTGTGCCTGCAATGAGTCCCAAAGCCAGCTTCTGCTTTTGGTTGCCAGAAAATGAGGGTGGAGTGGGCCAGGGGCGGGGCAAGGAGCAGGTAGGCAGGTCGGGTACCACTAAGCGTTCCTCAGGCAGTGCATCTACTGCATGGTGCCAGAGCCGAAAGATCAGGGGGTCAATCTGGAACTGCACCTCCAAGATGGGGCTGGCCTGTGGCTGCAGTCCCAAAGCCATACAGCATCGTGCAGGCAATAGCAGCCATAGTGCATGCTCTGAACTGGCCCGTGTCTCCAGCCGCACTTGGTATACTGTGTTGTCAGGTGCAGGCACAGGAGCCACAAGAGCTGTACTGACCGCTCTGCTCAGCAGGAAACCCTGGTTGGTGTCTGGCATCAGAGAGGAGGGGAAGGGGACCTCAGCATAGAGGGCTCCTGGTGGTGCAAAGAGCATGCCAAGTGCCGGCGTCTGCAGAGCTGTCTTCAGGGACACTTGGCCCTTCATGGTCAGCCTGGCAGGAGGCTATAGGTCAGTTCTCTATTCCACAGACACAGACCTGGCTCCAAGTCCAGACTTTGGCCCCTCCTATCAGCCCACTGCTCTACTTACTTGGCCACAAGCTGTTGCTGAGCTGCCTCCTCCTCATAGAGAAAGTTGTGCATTCTCTGCCGGTAGTTGGTACGAGAGATGGGGCCCCAGGCCAGAGCACTGTGACTGAACTCCAGAGCCAGGGAGGGTTCCTTGTACTTGGCCATCAGGGCCTCCTGCTCAGGTGTCCACTCAACTTCAAGCACCACTTGGCGGTTGCCTGTGTGCCAGCGCTCCAGCTCCTCAGGGTGGCTGGGTGCTGGCCTCCCACAGAGCCCTGGCCAGTGTGCCTGGCCCAGCTGCAGCCTCAGCTTCCTCAGTAGCACTGGCCTGCTACCAAAGTCAAAGACTACCCATTGCTCAAAGCTGCCAAAGGAGGCAGCCTGCACATGCACCCCTACCTGGAATTGAGCTGGGGAGCTGGGCACTCGGAACCAATCGCCCTGTGCATAGAGCCGGCCTGGCGGGAGGCGGGGGGCCACTAGTGAGAAGTCTGCTCCAGGCTCTTGCTTGAGTAGGGCCACATGTAGCAAGGGGTTCTGGAGGAGACAGGCCATGAGGTCTGGAGTGGGCCCTCAAACCCTGTCCCACTCTTCAGGGCCATGATGACTCCAGAACCCAACCCGCTCACCCTCCTGAGAAAGGCAGCTTGTCAGTTTCTGAATGTGAGACCCTCAGGTTGTTCAGTCTCTGCCCTGGTTTCCTCCTCTGCCCATGGACCTTGCCTAAGGCCCCAAATATGTTAAAAATGAGATGAGCAGCTTGGGGTTTTGGGGGTCATGTGGTTACAAATCACACTCTCCAGACACTGGCACACTTGTTCGTCATATTAAATCACTCATTCCATTGACTGACCCCACAGGCTGAGGATACCAGGATCACCTATCTTAGTTGGAGGAAACCGAGGCAGAGGGGCTGAGGGATTTACCCCAGGTCACACAGACACAGAGGTGGAGCAGCAGCATCACCTCCAAACAAACCACAGGCTTTCAACATCTGCTCAGTCACTGTCCTGACCCCGTGGGAATCCTTCCACCCATGGCTGGGGCTGCCTACAAGACCTGAGATCACACGGCTGTTGAACCCTCACCTCAGAGTGGATGGTAAACGTCCAGCTGTGCTGGGTCTTCTTCTGTGCCTGATACACCAGGGGTTGGTAGCAAGTGACGGATACTCCATGGATTGTCTCAGCCATCTGGACAGAGAAGCTTGGTTTTTAGCAGGGTGGCCCTGGACCCATGCCCACCACTCATAAGACCCCCACTTACCACCAGGACCTCATTGCTGCTCCGCTTATACTCAGCTAGCAGCCGTGTCTGGTAGGGCACCAGCCCATCCTGCCAGGCAGCTTGTTCTCGCAGTTCCATGGCTTGTGCTCTCTGGACCCACTCTTGCAGCTCCTGTTCTGAGTGTGCTTTGATGCAGACATCCCCATACTCACAGAGGTCAGGCCTGGAGAGTTGGGAAGGTCAGAGGACCACATGGAGATGTAGCCCCGGGGCCAACCCTCTCAGCCCAACCATGGCCTGTGTGGGCAGTGGGAATGGATTCTAGGCAGCGGAGTGCAGGGCTATTACCTGAGGTTTACTCCAAATCTCCAGGATGAGTCCTGGCACAAGGAACCTTCCTTGCCCAGGTCCTCAGAGCCAGTCTGACATACAGCAAGCACAGCAGATCTCTGGGAGCCTCAGGCCTGTGGGGGCCTTATAGTCTGTGCTGCTTGCTTGGCTGTAAGGGTTCATCCCCAACCCTATGCTCCTACCAACTCCTCTTACCTAGGGCAGAGCTCAAACTTGGAGAGCCCCATGGGTGGGACACGGTGCTTCCAGGGCACAGCCTGGTCAAACGCTACCATCTGTGCATGCTCCATGGAGGAGCAGTGGTTCTCGAAGGCCTCCTGAGAGCTACAGGTGACTAGACAGGCATGGCAGTACAGCTGGACCCTGGGGGGCTGGCCACGGCTGGCTTTGCATTTGTCTTCCTCAAAGACAGGGCATATGAGCAGATCTCCTCTCTGAAGCCCATCTCGCCTCTCAGCCTTCCACACAGCCATCTCCACAGCGCTGTGTGCATACTGGCAGCGGGAGGCCCCATGGCGACATGGCTCCCCACGGCCTACAAACATGCAGTAGTTTAGGGGGTGGTTTTTCCTTGGCTGCGGCCGCACTTCCATAAACTGCCGCTTGCGGCCCTCGGTGATAACATGAATGAGGAGTGTGGGGCAGGTTTGGTGCTCAGGGCAATGACCCTTGGGGTCCACAGGGCGGAGGCATGGGGGACGATGCTTGAAGCAGAGGGCACAGAGCAGCTGGAAGTGGCCACCAAACTCTGCATGGATGGTGTCTGCTGGGGCTTGTGGCCCACTCAGGGCCTTCATGCCCTGCACAGCAGCCTTCAGTTCCAGCCGAAGAAGACCGTGCTGACGCTCAAAGGTCCAGACCAGTGCCTCCTCAGGGCTCCTGGCAAAGGTGCACCTGTTCCCGTGGCGCCTGCAGCCCAACCCAGGATTATAGTAGCGGCAGACTTCATAGCGCAGAGGCTTTGGGAAGCTGGGCCTGCGGCCGACCTTACGCCAGATCTTGCCCTTAGTAGCTTGCTTATAGCGGGCCAGCAAGATCTCATTGGGGCAGTTGTGCTCGACGTCATGCAGGATGTAGGTGCTTTCATTGAGGCGCTTGGTGCAGCGGGAGCAGCCCAGATGAAGGTCTACCTGGGTTCGGAGCCTAGCTAAGGATGGCCCTTGGGTTGCCAAAGTACAAGCAGGCCACAGACTGCCCACAGAGGATGCCATCTCTGATAATGGCCAGGCTCTTCAGGAGGTGGACTCCTAAGCAGCTGGTCCACTGGAACCATTAGCCCTAGTGATAATGGGACAGGAGAGACAGATCAGCCCAAAGCCCAGAGGAACCCACACAGCCTCTACCAGGCAAAGGACAGAAACTTTGGCCCAACCTTGGCTTGTCAGGGAGTCACACCTGGACCCCAACTCAACCTTCTCCCCCTGAAAGGTCCCCAAGCCCTGCCCAGAAGGAACCCAAGTGGTGGATGGTAGAAGAAGACAGCCCAGGAGGTCACAGAATCCCTCTAGCCTCTGGGCCCAGTGAAGTCTGAGACTCCTTTGCCCAAGGCCCTCAAGCTTCAGGTCTCCTGGAGACTCTTGTAAAGTGAGTACCCCCTTTCCTGAGAACTTCCAGTTGTTTTCTAGGACAACTGTAGCCCACCTGGACTTGGTTGCAGGGGTTCCAGGAGAGGCAGGCACAGGCTTGCAGAAGCCTTGCCCTACCCAAGTAGAAGAGCTGACATCAGAGCTCCTACAGGGATGCCAGAAGAGCCCAGAGCCCGAGTTAGTGCCACCCCAGTAGGGATGGGAGAGGGAACAGCTAGTTCTCTGTGAATACGGAGGTCAGGTACAAGAAGAATTTTCCTTTAAGTGTTGAAGATGGAACCCAGTTCCTCACATGTGCTAGGCAAGTGCTCTGCCACTAACCTATACCCTCACACTCTAAAGAAAACTTTAAGGGAAACTTTAGGGAAGAAAGATGATGTTTTTAAAGTAAATGATTAGCAGCAGGCAGAGCCTGTAGACCTACCTGCACCCCAGTGGACGCTTCTGAATCCCCAGAGCTGGGACCCCATACTAGGCAGCTGGAAAAGTAGGAGGGGGCTAAATGGGGCTGTGGGCTGCCGGGTCTGTCTAGGACAGCTAATCCTGCTGGTTTCATGGCAGAGAGGTGGTCCTTACACGTCCCCGGGTGGCCGAGCCACCGCCCCACACTTACCCTGGGTAACCAGCATCAGCTCTGTGCTGCTCCGAGCTACGAGCTATGATCACTTTCGATTCTGCCCCAGGGGCGACTCAGACCTCTGACGCCAGATCACGGAAATTACCTCACTGCCCCCCCCGCCCCGCCCCCGCCCCGCCCTCTAGTGATAGCTCCCCTCCCAGACCTGGAGAAGCTCCCCGGCCCTAGTGAGATTTCCCCCACCTCCAGTTCCCCTGGGGTCAGCACATGCAGGATTTGACCTGGCTCTTTCCCTTCCCTCCCTCCTCACTCACACACAGATGCCTGTGTAGGGGAGGGTGAAATGAGCCCCTGGGTGGGATGGCTTTGGGGTCAAAAGATACTTCTAGAGAGAGTAGGAGGGCCCTTGCCCTCAGAGCCCTGACCGGCAAGCACGCTTTGCTGTGGGTGCTCTGGGTGCTCCGGCTGCAGGCTAGGGTCCCTGGGAGCAGTGCCAGGAAGGCAGGAGCTGAGAGCTCTGTGTTGGGGAAGGACCTGTTCCTAAAAGGCACCAGCCCTCTTCCTAGAAGCTCTAAAGATCACAGTCATCCCCTTAAGATATACAGAGATGTTGGGACTGTTCCAGAACCCAGAGAAATGAGAAAACTTCTAACCCCAAACCAAAGGGCAAAAAGAGCTGGGCACATTGTGCATTCGCATTTGATTTGCCAGACCTCCTGAACTCACTGGGGATGTACTGCCACCAGTCCCAAGGCACTTTGGTCACCCTAAAACCTGAACAGCCAACTCATCCAGGACATGGTGGCATGGGGTCCTGGCCTCGGCAGACCTCAGTTTTCAGCTCCTTTGTGGTAGAAATGACCAAGAGTCAGAAAAGACTCAGCTTCCTCTTTACTGTTTGGCCACTCACACGGGGGGGGGGGGGGGGGGAACGACACCACCCCCCTCAATGATAACTCCTCCCCTGTGGGGGTGGGGCTTGTGGGAGCTCTAAGTTTTGGGTGATTGGCTGTTACACAGCAATGAATACCCCATCATTATGGTCCCCCTGAAACAAGGACATACATTTATCTCCAGAGATGCCAGTTTCCTGCTGGGATGAGTAAAGCCAAGAGTCCCACATGAAATCAGGATGCTGGCAGGGCAAACAACAACAGTCAGGAGCCTATGAACACACAGCCATAAGCAAGAAGGGTGGAGAAAGAGAGACTAAACAGGAGCAGCAGAGACAAGCTTAGTAAGAACACGCAAGAGAACAGAGAGATCCCTGAGGACAACAGAATGCTAGAAAAACAGCATGGAAACTAGTTGTGGTGGCACAAGTCTGTGATCAGCAGAGGAGGCATAGGCAGGAGTCCTGGCTCTATAACAAGACTATACCCCATCCCCCCCAAAACAAAAACAACCCAGTATGGAATATTTTGTTCTTGGGTAGGAAGAGATTAATACTACATAAAGAAAAGTTGTCAATTCTTCCTTTGTTTGAACCTAAGGCAGTAGAAATGAAAGTAAGAGGAACTAGGGGTAGGGTGGACATACCAGCTGTCAAGCATTAGATAAACAAGAAGAGTGGGCAAGAAAACTAGTGAAAAGAAGCATAAGAAAGAATCAGTCCCATTGGGGCTGGAGAGGTGGCTCAGCGGTTAAGAACACTGGCTATTCTTGCAGAAAACCCAGGTTCGAATCCCAGCACCCACATGACAGCTAACAACTGTCCAGTCCCAGAGGATCCGACAGCCTCTTCTGACCTCCTCAGGCATTGCATGACATGGGTGCACTTACCTACATGCAGTGAATAGACACATACACATAAAAATAATAAACTTTTTAAAAAAGAATCAGTCCCATGAAATACTAGAAATCATTGTAAATCCCCTAAAGGAAGGGTATGAGCACAGATGGACAAGCAGATCTCCAGAGCATGAAGGTGTCCACATGCTGACCAGAATGCACATGCACTGTAGCTGGCTCCTCCCCACCTAGGGTTGAGAGAGTCAGTTGATAGTCACCAAGGAATATTCTTTTTCTTCTCAGAGAACCAGTTGTTAAACATCTACCAGCATGCACCAGTGATAAATTCAGCCACACAAAACTAAAACAATTTTTTACAGGGAAGAAAACAAACCTTACCATCAATAGAGTGAAAAATCCAAGTAAGCTGAAAAAGAAAAATTGTAACTCCTATCACAGGAAAAAAGTCCAATTTCTTTAATGTAATATATATATATATATATATATATATATGCAAGTGCCACCACACCCAGCCTATAGTATATATTTTAAAGATCCTATAAATTCAGGATAAAAAACCTCATAATCTAGCTGGGCATGGTGGTGCACACCTTTAATTCCAGCACTCAGGAGGCAGAGGCAGGCGGATCTCTGTGAGTTCAAGGCCAGCCTGGTCTACACGGTGAGCTCTAGGACAGCTGGGGCTACAGAGAGACCCTGCCTCAAAAAGACCAAAAAAAAAAAAAAAGAAAACCTCACAATCTAAAAGAAAAATAGACAAAGCATATGAATTAATATTTGTTATACATACAAAATGGGAAATTACAAGTTGTTTCAAGTGTGAGAAAGCATTCATGTGCATGTGAGGAAAACACAAACCAAAACATCCTGATCCTATTCTCCACTCTGGATCAGCAGGACTGCATTCAGCTGGGGTCCAGCTGGGTCTCAGCAGGATAGTAACCTGGTAGCACCATAGAGAAGAGCAGGGGTGTATCTTGTGACCTCAAGGTCACTGGACCAAGAAATAGTGACAGTGATGGCAGAACCTACTCATATTAGCTTCCCTTCGAATCACCACAGATTCAGGTCCCCAGACTCAGCACTGGAGTGGAGTGGCCACCTCAACATGGAGGGAATACTCAGAAGTCATTGAAAAGGGAGTCTCTCAGTTGTTCCTGAGATTTTTCTGAGACACTTTGGTAAAGAAGAAAATAAGTGTTCAGCAATGCATTTCTAACTACAAATATATTTGTAGACACATACACACACACACACACACACACACACACACACACAGACACTGTCCAGGGACCCAGTTCTCAGGCCTTTCTCAGCTATGCTAAAGCCAAAAGGACCTCCAAGACTGTGCCCATGCCAACACACTTGGCCCCCAAGGCTAGCCTCCTGGGACTGGAGACCCGAAGGCCTCCTCAACTTTGTCTGAGTGTCTCACATGAGACCTGAACTCCTCTCCTTTTGATCCTCCGATAGTTTCCCCATCCCAGCAAATGGCACCTGTATCAGTCAGGGTTCTCTAAAGAAACAGAAGTAGATGTTGGGTGTGGTGGCACACACCTTTAATCCCAGCACTTGGGAGGCAGAGGCAGGGGGATCTCTGAGTTCGGGGCCAGCCTGATCTACATAGTGAGTTCCAGGCCAGCTGGGGGTACAGGGAGACCTTGTCTCAAAAAGACCCCCCAAAAAAAAAAAAGACCCCAAATATTCTCAGATAAACATGGATGTGTGTGTGTGTGTGTGTGTGTGTGTAGGGATTTATCAGATTAGCTTACAGGATAGAGTCCGAGTAGTCCAACAATGGCTACACCACACTGGAGAGGCTGAGAAGCGGGTAGTTGATCAGTCCACGAGGCTGTCTCAGTAGTCCCAATCTGGTGCTGAAGGCCTGACAAATTCCAAGAGATCTATTAGTCTTCAGTCCACCTTGGAATCCAAGGAGGTTGGTCACAGGAGCAAGACCAACTCACCAGTGAGAGAGAAGGCAAGGGGTAAAAACGCAGGAGCTCTTCTGCCATGGCCTTTTATACAGGCTGCCATCAGAAGGTAACGCCCACATTTAGGGAGGGTCTTCCAGCTTCAGATGATCCGATGAAGAAGATCCCTCTCTCATTTCAGTTAATCCCAGATCCAGTAAATTGACACCCAGGATTAGCCATCACAACACCCAGAGTCCCAGGCTGAAAGGAAATGTCCGAGATACCCCATTACACCCGACATTCCACCACAGCAAATGCTGGTACAGACTCCAGTGACCTCGTCCCAGCTGTGATCCTTCTTTGACCTCCTTGGTCTCACTCCTGTGATGATCACAGCTCAGGAAGAAGTGCTGATTGCAGAGGAAGGTCCTCAGAAAGCTGCCACAGCGACTGCTTGAACACCGCCTCCACGGAGCAGAGTGCACACCCTCAGAGGCAGACAGATGGATGTCACAAGTCTTGTGATGAAGTACCTGGAGATCACAACTCCTGCCCCCACTATTGCATGCTGAGCTCAACACCATACAAGCTCCTGTAGAGCGTTCAGTGACCACTTGTGCTCCTCAGAGAAGTCCCCAGGGCCAGGCTAGACTGAACAGGCCAAGCAGGTCCAACAACCAGAGTGGCAGAAATTTACAGTGGGATTTCACACTAAGAAAAAAATACATATGTACAAAGTTATTACACCACTAACAACTTTAATACAAATTACATATGATATATATGCAAACACTACAAATGTGAGAAAATGAGAGTCTAGATTAAAGAAAATATACAGTTCTTTGTAGCATGTTTGCGACTTTTGTGTTCACTTCATAAAATTAAAAAGAAGCAAAATATAGCCAGGCGTGGTGGCACATGCCTTTAATCCCAGCACTTGGGAGGCAGAGGCAGGTGGATCTCTGTGAGTTCAAGGCCAGCCTGGTCTACATAGAGAGTTCCAGGACAGCTGGGGCTACAAGGAGACCCTGTCTCAAAAAGACAAAAAAAAAAAAGAAGTAAAGTATATCTCCACAGTACCCTCAGCTTCATCTCCTCGGATGGGCTCAGTAGGTAAAGGCACTCACCACCATCCTGATAACCTGATTTCCATTCCAGGAACCCACATCGCAAAGGAGTCGACTCTTCACAAACTGTCCTCTGACCCTCACACATGCAACCATGGTACATGTATGTGCTGATCCTCCCAATAAACAAAGGTTTAAAAAAATTTTTTAAAGAGAGGGCTAGGGATGTAGTTTGCCTAGCATGCACAAGGCCTTGGATTTGATCCCCAGCACCCCCCAAAAAAACGCATCAGTCATTGGCTAGACATAACTAATAACCTTAAAATACATAAGATCTTGATCTACAGAGTCAATGCAATTCCAGTCAAAGCCCATGTTATTT